TGATGGTTTCTCGGAGACTTGCTATCGCTCGATTTGCGTCATCGAACGTAGCTATCGTCTTGGGTAGGTTGACTATGTCCTGGGGTTCCAAGGCCCTGAGTTTGGCCTCAAGACGAAGTCATTCCACTACGGATTTGGTCGGAGGGACCGCGACGGCGTTCTGGCCCCGTTTACACAGGACGGGCCTGTGATCTGAATAATCTGAATAGTTTATGGATTGTCTCTATCGACTCGATATCGAACGAGACCTCCTTGAATAATTTAATTGATATCTAAGATACTCGGTGTCGCGTGTTGGTACTTGTCCACCGTAGGATACCTAGTGGGAGTCGCAGGAGCGATTATGCTAAAGTTTAAATTATCGGATAAGCTAAAGAGATGCTTTCCATTGTTATTTGGGAGATTAATAACAGCAGGACGGGGACCTGACGTGAGGGATGTGAAAAAGTTATCGATTTTCATATTAATCGATTATTTTTATTCTAATAATCGATTTTTAAAAATTATTTTTTTCAATAATAATAATCATTTTTCAATAAATCGATTATATCAATTTAGCTTTTTAAACGATTTTTGTGAACAGCATCTGTATGTATACAGGTTGATTTTTTAGACTAAGTAAATACTTTCACATTATGTTAATTGAGCATTCCATAATTTAAAAGAATATTAATAATTTATTTTGACAAGACCAGAAAAATATAAATTCCAGCATTTTTTGTTTATCCCGTTAAGAATGGTCACCCTCATGACGCGATCTACGAACAATTTTCGTGCTCTTGAATAGGGTGGTGTTCATAATGTAAATAAATAGCACGGCTTTACGGATATAATGTTTATTGCACTGCACACGAACCAATTTATAATTAGAAGGAGAAAAGTACAGAAGATTATGAGGCACAGAATAAATAACATTACAGAAGGGACGGAAAATAAGCTAAGCACAGTAAAACAGTCTAGTAATAGCGATAAGCGTAAAAGATCTATCACTCGCGTCAACTATATGTTGTCGTTAGGTTAGGCGGCGTGCGCTTCGCGTGGAGTAGTTTTGCAACTGGCTCGAGCGACCGCGGGTCAGCTGCGCAAACCATCGCGATACATACCGTTATTTACCCGTCGCTGTGTAGTGACGTGGCGCAGGTCGATAATTCCGTTCACTTGTTATCGATGGATTGGATTGTCGATAATTTATTAAAGTTGATGTATAATATAAAGTATAAATGTCTATAATAATAAATATGAATACTGTAAATGTTATTAAATACTTATGTGATGAATGTGTTATTGTAAATATAAATATATATGTTGTTAAATATAACTATGGGAGATATGTGAAGAAGAGGAAAAGTATGAAAGTACACCACACTTCCAACATTTTGCCTAGATGTTTTCTTTCAAATTAATAATTTTTGTTTAATAAAATACAATTTTCTCCACAATAAGAACCATACATAATTTTTTTTCTGTATAAATGTATTTTAAATTAAAATAAAATTTTGTTTTAAATTTAGGAGTTTACGTTTAATTTGTTATACGTTTCGGCAAAACATTCATATTGTATTTACAGGTAAAGACTGCAACGCAAATTTGCATTTTTTTTCTCACCTGAAAATGATAATGACTGATTTAAAACATGGATTCAATCGATTGGAGGAAATTTAGTGATTTTGGATAGCCAAAAATAATTTAACGTAAATAATTTACCAAACGACACCAGACTCGAAATCATTCATAAAAAAGATTAGATATAAAAAAAAGCGAGTGAATATTATAAAAAACGAAAGATTCCGCAAAACATATTTCTGTATTTTATTTACTTTATCCAAAAGTAACATCTAGCAAGCTTGTATCCAATTACAGTTTTCTATACAATGTTATCAAATATAAATAAAATAAATTTTATATACACTATATAGAAAACTGTAGTTGAATACAGCACTCAAATGTAAAAACAAAATGGTTAATTAGTATATGTTATAAACATCTTAACTTGTAGTTCGTTCCCGGATCAAGAGATGGCGCTGTCTCACGAGGAGACATTAATAATGTACTCTTTGGCTCCATCGATCCATATCCAAATATCAAATGCAATATATCAATAAACGTAGTGATTAGTGATTACATTTAGGCATGAGATATACCTGCAACATTCTATACCCGGCCTCAAAGGTACGGGTATCGCCGTATACCCGGTGCTAAAACCCAGTATCAAAATACCTATAGGTATTAGTTATGTTCAGGCCTCCTTTTAGAGACCCGGTATGGAATTGAACCTCTTTGGTTGGAATTGGAACATTTAGATGTTTTTTTAGCAATCAGTTTTTTTTAATTGAGATTTAATCAGTCTAAAATAAGCTCCATCTTTACTAACGTAAAGAACCCTATTATCAAAAAAAAGTAATTCAAAATAAATATTACTGTTTAACCTTATTACGCTATTTTTTATTTAACTTATGGTCATAGAAATAAAGAATAAATTTATCTCAAGGAATTATTTGGTATAAAATGCCTAAATCATACGTTTCAATTCGGGCATGACGGGAAGAGCCGCCGTAAGCTTTCGGGGAACTTCGTACCTATTCGGCCGGCGGGTTGTCGCGAGCGTTATCTACCGCCACTAGAGATGGGTCGTATCGCTTTTTCTGAGTACCGTATCTGAATCAGATTTCGATTTCAAATATCAGATTTCGAAAATATGTATTTTAATATCTAGATATTTTACGGTCCCGTATCCACCTTGAATTCTAAAAAAAAAAAAAAAGTACATAATTTTCCTGATATTTAAAACTTAACATTATATATTTACAATTATGTGTGGGTTAATAATTATTAATTATTTAGATTCTTCCGGGTTTAAATTCATGTTTAGGAACGTAAGCTCTTTGACTTTATTCCTCGAAAGTCTTGTTCGATGATCATTATAGCTATACATAACTAAAGCTATTACCAGTGATACCAACTGTTCAAAAATAATACTTCTAAATAAATTCGAAAACCCACTACAATTGACTAAATTCAAAAAACTTACTGAATTTAAAATCACGATTTTTTTATACTATTGAGGTAAAATTAAAACATTACCTGATTAAATAAAAAATTTCATTAAAAATAGAAATTGAAGTAATATAAAAATGATTTATTTTAACATCTTATATATCGCTTAATAATTGACTTTAACATATTCTTAGAACACGCAATCATGAGTGACAATATTTTCATAATTTGTGTAAGAAATAATACATTCAGTATTATAACTTAGGGCGGAAGAATTTAAAATATACACACAAAGCCTTGGTAAACCTTGGTCTGATTTCCACCCAAGCAGCACAGCACTATTAAATTATATTTTTCTTTTTGTGTAGTTTAATTTTTTTCCAAAAATATGAATAAAATTTAACTAATAAAAATATTCACAAAAAAATTTACCTCCTAAAAAATTTCCTTAATTTAGGCAGAAAATTCTTAAGTAGTAAGTTGGCATCCCTTACTATTACGTGCTAGGTACCAATGCAATCCAGCTCAAGGTTAAACAAAATTTAAAGACATCTTTAATACCGTAATTCGTATTTAAATGCAACTAAAAATGTTTTTTTTCCATGCTGTTAAGATTCAAAATTACTTAACTGCGCGCTTTGTCGCCCGTTACGGCTCAAGGCTAAACAAAACAATAAAAATATACTTAAAAATATCGTTGTAGTAATCGTTGATACCATGATTAGTATTTAATTGAAACGGTTCTTACTTGCATGGTTTTAAGATTCAAAATTACTTAACTTATTCATAATATCTGTTTAAAAATCTGATATTGTGCCTTGCTTGCCGTACTGCTCTAACTAGTGTAATATTTGTATCTCACGCGCTTTGTCGCTCAAAATCTGTTTAAAAATCTGATATCGTGCATTGCTTGCCGTCCCGCTCTAACTAGTGAGTATTTATATCTCACGCGCTTTGTCGCTCGATATCTGATATCGTGCATTGCTTGCCGTCCCGCTCTAACTAGTGAGTATTTACATCTCACGCGCTTTGTCGCTCGATATCTGATAACGTGCATTGCTTGCCGTCGCGCTCTAACTAGTGAGTATTTGTATCTCACGCGCTTTGTCTCTCGAAATCTGTTTAAAAATCAGATATTGTGGCAAACGCGTATGATATCGCGATTCGTGTCGGTATAGCGAGCGAGCACGTTACATCAGATTTCGGAAATATCAGATATTGTAAAATACATAGATATTGAACGAGCCAGTAAGCGATATTCGGGTATTGTACTAATGTTAGTTTTCATATCGGATACGATTTGTATCGCCCACTTCTAACCGCCACCGTCGGACGAGGCGGCCATACCTATCGGGTATGGAACGGGCCTCTCCCGTACATACCCGGTGTGCATACTGGTATGTTGATACTGGGTATTTATACCTGTTCCAGTATATACGCCTCATCCCTAATTACATTCTCTTTGATCAAATGTATAAACGTAGTGATTACATTATCTTTGGTATGGACTGAAAAGACCGTGTGATAGGTTTTAATTTAACCTATTGTTTTGTTGCAACATTATTACTGTAATCATCAACATTATTACTGTATTTCAGATATACAAAAGTACTCTTTGACTGTAATTATATTTATTTCCGAATCCAAGATAATAATGACTAATGTAAAGAATATTTTTTGTTTATCTCTCCGTTTTTATTCTGGATTTGCGAAAAGACTTCAAGCTAAAAAATATGTACTCACAAAACATTTCATTGGGGAACCGAAAAAAAGTGACTTTAAAATCGTTGAGGAAGAACTGCCTGAATTGTTAGATGGAGGTATGGTTTTTTTTGTTTATGATGTTAATTAATTAAGTACAAAATAAGATAATCAATAAGTAGAAAGTAGTCAATGCTTGTTATGTTTTATTTTGCTTTTTTACAGAAATTTTAACGGAAGCAGAATATCTCAGTGTAGACCCATACATGCGTGCCTATATGATAGGTTACAAATTGCCAACAGATATGATAGGTGGACAAGTGGCAAAGTATGGTGCATCAGTGCTTTTTTTTGCAATTCATTAAATATCTCATAAAAAGATCATCTCCCTCCCTTTAATAACTATAATAATTTAATTGCAAAATATTGCATATTATACAAATCATCTTTCATTTACACTAGGACAGTTTGAGGGAACAAAAATAAATATTGTTAGAGTTGCATTACGTGCCTGACTGTGCTCTCCTTATAGCCCGTAGATAATCCCCTAGTATGTAGGTACATAGACAATCGCTACCCCAATAGATAGCGCTCATAGGCGTGCATGCATGGGCTTGGCTATTCCACGAGTTCTGAGCACAATAAATTTTTAAGTGTATGAATTGAAAGCAGAATAAAAAATCAGTCAGTGATACGAAAATAGAGCTCTGAAGATGATTGATAAAACAAATAACTAATGGGCAATTTGCAAATTTCTTTATAAATTCTTCTTCTTCGACTTTGAAAGCTTTCAATATACTTAAATATACTTGCAAAACAATAGTACTGTCAAATAGTTAGGGCAGGTCAGGTTTTTCAATAGAAGATAATATGTGTATTATGTCTGAAAATAAATTCGCGCTTCTGTGTTATCATGGATTTGTGTGGTATAAAAATTTCTCATTAATCTTATTGTGGAATTGGTGTCTGTTGTCATTGCACTAGAGTAATATATGCTAGTAAAAAAGTATAATTGTTTTTAGGATAATAGCAAGTCGAAATGAAAGATATCCTGTCGGTGCTTACGTCGCAGGATCGTTTGGATGGAGAACTCATACGGTTTGTAACCCTAACAAACCGCCTAATATGGGATTCTTGCCCTTATACTTGTTGCCGGACATAAGCCCGCACCCTGTGTCACTAGCTCTAGGAGTACTTGGAATGCCTGGGTGAGTGTAGCATTATTTTCCAGACGAGAACAATAATTTACTATATTCATTGTAGAAAACCACTTCAATTAATTTATTTTAACAATAATAAATAAGAGGAGTCGCTAATGGGGGTGAGGGAATGTGACCATTTTTTATTTTCTAATCAGACTACGAGTATATTACGTTCCGTTCCGTTACGAGAAATAATTATGTTTTTTTTACTATAGTAACACAGCTTACTTTGGGTTGAAAGAGATATGTAAACCACGGCCTGGAGAAACAATCATGGTTACCGGTGCGGCTGGTGCGGTCGGTTCGCATGTCGGGCAGATTGGAAAATTACTAGGTACATTAAGGATTTCGCAAATAACTTTTACGCAAATAACTTCGCAAATAAAGGGATATTTAATGAAAGAGCGTGATAAAGAAGTAGGTGGTTCAACTGATGGTAAGTGATTACCGCCCATTAACATCCATAACACAAGAGAGTCACAAACGCCATCTTTTAAGAGGATTCTGGTTTAAAATAAGACGTGAGTTTAAATGATAAAATGTCGAAAATGTTCGGCACTGCCAGGATTCAAACCTGCGTCTTCTGGGTAACGTAGGATGTCGCCTTGGAATGATATTTTGCTCGAAAAGTTCTTGAGATAATATAGTCACTATACAGTAATGCTGCTTTTTCAACATACTTCAAAAGGAGAGGTTCTTAATTCGCTTGTATTTATTTTATGTTTGTTACCTCATAACTTTTGATTGAGTGAACCAATTTTGATGATTCTTTTTTATTTGATACCTAGTGCTTTCCATGTGGTTCCATATAATTTCATTTTTATTGGGTCTTGCGCTCCTGAAAATCAATTATAAAATGAATACAGAGCGAGATATTTTAAGTCAGTTGTGTTTTTCGTTAGTAAAAAAATGGTTATTTCTTACATTATTTTTAGGAAATGGCATGTCGGCGTCAAGGGTCTCTAAGGGTCAAGTATGGTGTGTGAATGGTTGATGGTGTTTGAACTGACTCTAGCGTGGCCTCATGTAAAGAAGGTTCACATCTACTCTGTTTGCCCGGAACCAACCACCTAGGTGTTGGTTCCGGGCGACGTTTTCGAGGCGGGTGGTAAAGTGACTGCCGTCCATGACAAGTACAAGTTCGACACATCCCCCGAGATTAGGGGTAAGAGACGTATTCTTGAAGAACACTCACTTTAAATGGATGACCTCTACAAGGCGCGTTCTATTTGAAGTCGAAACAACCGATTCGATGGCTCGAATGGTGTGAACAATAAAATTGTAGTAAACTTGTAAAGAAAGGCAATATAGCTTTGTTGAATGCCCTTGGGGCAGCGAAGAAAACGCCAACGTTTCATATTATGTGAGTTCAGATAAAGCCCTTTAGGATAAGCTTAGGTGGTGAACTTGTTCGTGATGCTACCAGAAAAATACAGCGTTAGAAAAAGAGTAGTTAATCGGATTCAATTGCAGATGACTATGGCTTCTTCCTAGGATTTCATAAAATACGATTGTTTTCTAGTTCTCCTTAAATTGTGCGTTCTCCACATTAGGCAAATGAATCACAAATTATATTTTAAAACAATTAATGCAATTTTCATTATAGAAATTTTATTTTCAAGGTTGTCGTGTAATTGGATTTGCTGGTTCAGACGAGAAATGTGAATATTTGGAAAAAGAACTTGGATTTGATCATGCATTTAATTATAAAACTGTTGATATTAAGACTGCCATTAGGGAAGCGGCACCAAATCGTGTCGATTGCTATTTCGACAATGTATGTATGAATGTAACGTGTTATTACTTATTTTTATTTATAGAGATATTTATTATTGAACAAATATTAAATAATGATGATAACAATTAGGTTGGTGGAGAAATAAGTTCAACCATTATGAGTTACATGAACAAATATGGACGGGTTGCAGTTTGTGGTTCCATATCATCTTACAATGATGCCGTTCTACCAAAAGGTAAATACAAAAATTAGGATTGCCCCAGTATTTATTTAAAACACTCACTTAATTAACAATATTTCAGTAACAATATTGCAACCGGCTATCGTTTTTAAAGAATTGAAAGTAGAGGGATTCCTAGTTAATCGATGGACCGATCGTTGGAACGAAGGTATAAACGCAAATTTGGCTTGGCTACAAGAAGGTAAACTAAAATACCAAGAAAAAGTGTACGATGGCTTTAATAACATGGTAGAAGCCCTCGTTGGCATATTAAGAGGAGAAAATATTGGTAAAGCTGTGGTAAAAATCAAGTGATACGTATTTATTATGAGATATACAATTTTTTAAATGCATCCTTTATTGTTTATAATTGTATCAATTTTGATTTATATTATTAATGCTGTTAAAATAAAAAGAGGTGGTTGGTAATTATTTTCTTGTTTGATTATGGTGACTGTTGTACCTGATCACTTATGAAGAGATGGCTCCTAAAATTATTTTAATAGTATATTTGTTTGGGACAAAAACTGCATTTTTTTAGAGAAATGCCTATGTATGGGCCGAAACTGGACATTCTATTCGTGACGTACATAAAAAAAGGAAAATTAGGTTTAGTGAGTAACCTAGAGAAGAGTAAAGGAGCTAATGACTTTTTTTAATGTAAGAATACGGCAAGCGATTTGGCAGCTTATCTGATGTTAAGTAATAACCACCGTTCACGGACATTTATGATATATTGCAGCTGGCCAAAGGCCCTGCATATACGAGTTTCGGGGCCCTGTCCCCATTACTCGGGTGTGTATCTCGACCAGCGAATGGCTGTTCGGTGGTGAGGATGGCCTTCGGCCATCCCTTTCCCTGACCGCGGTAGCGGCACTTGCGAGTGTACGGCGTTACACGCGGTGTGTAACGCGAGGACGACATCGTCTCCGATACAGCGGCGGAAGTGCGGTCGGGACTGGACCCCCAATGGCCTGTTCCGACCGTAGTAGCTCTCGTGGGAGCGGACGTCCGTCAGGAGGACGGTCGTGGAGTGGAGTAATATTCTCCAGGTGTGGGTGTGGTCCGTTGTCGACCCTGTCGTACATGCGACGGGCCATCCGGACCACAAACTCCCCGGTGGACTCGATCTTCAGGTCACGGGCGGTTACGTTCCCGGCTCGCACGATTGCTCGAAGGGCGAGGTTCTGCTGCGCCTGGAACCTGCGCCTCTGCGAGGCGGAAACCAGTGCGTACCACGCCGGAGCGGCGTAGGTCAAGCGCGAACGGATGTAGGTCTTAAAGACGCCCAGTTTCGTCTTTACTGGTAGCTTGGATGCCAGGATTGGGTAGAGGACCGCTCGAGCTGCCCTGGCTTGTCGAACTGAGTATTCGACTTGGAGCGCCATACTCAGCGAGCGGTCTATCCGGCACCCAAGGTAACCTGATGGTGTTCTGGTTCGTTATCGCTTGACCTCGCAGCTCAAGCGTGGGTTGGTGTTTGATGTGGCGGATGTAGATGGCGGACGTCTTGTCGACATGGACAGACATCCGCCACTTATCTAGCCACTCGGGCAGCAGGTCCAATTGGCGCTGCATCTTCCTCGCCGCAATCGCCGTCTTGTGTGAAGACTGAAGAACGCGCTATCGTCCGCGTAGAGGGCCAACAGCACGTCTTCATCCCAGTCGGAGGCGTTTTGCTCCAAGGTGGGAATGTCGTCCGTGTACACCGCATACAGGTGTGGCGACAGACAACTACCTTGTGGTACACCGGCTTGGATGCATCGTACCGCCGATTCGGCTTCCTCGACACGTACAACGAACTTCCGGTTCTGGAGAAATGACGCTACTAACCGCACGAGCGCACGGTGGATGGTGGTCTCTTCCAGCAGCTTGTACAGTAAGCCCTCGTGCCACACTGTCGAAGGCCTTCTCCACATCGAGAAGGACCCCCAAACAGATGCGGCCCCTGTTGTACTAGGCCGCAAGATAGTGCAGCACTCGGGCCAGCTGTGCTGTGGTGGAGTGGCCGCTGCGGAATCCGAACTGTTCCCTGCGTAGCTCGATGCAGGGAACTATTCTCTGCAGCAGCAACCGTTCAAAGAGTTTCGCTACGTGCGGCAGTAGCGTAATAGGCCGGTAGCTCGCCGGAAGTCGTCGGTCCTTGCCCGGTTTCGGCAGGACGATGATCTTGCCGGTTTTCCACTCAGAGGGGAAGTGTGCCGTGCGCAGTACACCATTGTACAGGCGACACAGCGCCACTATCCCCCTTTTAGGCAGTTGTCTTATCGCCAGCGTCGTGATTCCGTCGACGCCGGGTGCCTTGCGGAGCGCGAGGCTCTACGCACTTCGGTTGGAGTGATGAATAATCCACCATCCAGCCGTGGCACCGGCTCCGACAGGAACACCTGTATGTGCTGCTCCACTTCCAAGAGCGGATCCAGCTTTGGTGCCAGGGGGGGGTCATGTAGTCGTGGTCAAGTGATAAGAAGTTATAATTTAATTTTTATAATCATAGATACAAGTAAAAAGTAGGTACTTATTTTTAACCGACTTCAAAAAGAAAGAGGTTATCAATTCGCATGTTTATATTTTTTATGTAGGGATGTTCCGGCATACCTTCGTCAGATATAGACGGATTTGCAAAATTCTTTTTAGTTCGTAACATTTCGTTGCTTTTTATTATCATATATTATATAAGGTGGCTTTTATAAAGGTGCCCAAATTCACACAGGAGGTTCAGACTCGGTAGTATAATCGTTAATTGAAATAAAAACAAACTTTTTTAAAGAAAAATTGGCATTCTATTCCTTAAAAACAAACTTGTTGACAAAGAGGTAGTCATTCATAAATGCGTCGTATACTTTTGAAACGAACTTGTGTGCTTGCGGGACACGGTTTAATAATAATATATAATCAACCCAAATGAAAACTCCTAAAATAGCCGTACACAAAATAAAATTACATCGTCCACATTAAAAAAATGTTCATAAATAACAAAAAAAAAATATTTATTCATTCATTCATTCATAATATTCAGCGCTTCTAATACATCTAATCAAAGACAGAATCCACATTCACAAAAATCTTTATTTCCCAAAGATGGTCTCGCATACTCACGTCCACTAAACCACCACATCTCACCACCCATCAAAAACCCACCTATTAAGACAAATCAAACTCGAGGCAGTTGTGTTCCTTAATTACTGAGTTCCTATGGCCACATTCCAGCTCTGTCATCAGACCCTGGTTACCATCTAGCACCAAAGAACTCGCCAAGACGAATCAAACGAGCCGAAACTCGATGGGGTTGAGTCGTTTCATTACAGAGTAGTCATAAGAACCTCACAGAATAGCCTCATAGACCTCACAGAAGATCGGCGTAAAGTACTTCTGCGATTTGTCTGGTGAGTGAGGTAGCTGGAGCCCACTTTATTATAAGGAGAAAACGCATCAGCAACCCTATGTGTCCATGGACAGCTGAAGATGGAGCTCCATCATCAGATCCTGGTTACCAATGAAAGATAAACTACTCGTCAATACTATTCAAATGTACCAAAACGCGATGAGGCTCTATGGTTTGATTCGAAGTTCCTATGGCCTTCCTTCCAGCTTCATCATCAGATCAGCACTATGTCATAAAAATATTGCATTTTCTCGCGATTTACACATGTATACAAAATTTCAGCTCAATCGGTAACCGGGAAGTAGATCAAATTGAAATTGCAAGATTTGATTTGATGATTTAAAATTAAAATATTGTAAAAATGTTCATAAAATGAAAACTACTTGGCTAAAATATGGTAAATTTTTATGGGACCAAATGGCAACTATTGTGCATCAAACTAAAGAAGAATCATGTAAATCGGATCATAAATCTCAACGTAATTGGTGTACATACATCGAAAAAAAATATACCAATCGAGTTGAGAAACTCCTCATTTTGAAGTCGGTTAAAAATATTATATTATTTAATTAAATATTGAAGGTACTTACATAAAATCTATATTGTGGCAAAAATATATTAAAACATTATGTTTAACAATTTTAATTAGTGGTCCACCTAGGTCCTAGTCTCAGGCCAGGGGGGGGTCATGACCCCCCCCCCCCCTGGATCCGCCCTTGTCTACTTCCTGGAACGCTATGGCGCGTGGGGCCGATGTGTTGGCCACAAATTGCCCTTAGGTGCTCTGCCAATATGTCAGCCCTGTCTTGGGCTGCAGCGTGCTTACGCCCATCGCTACCCACGAGTGGACAGATGGGCTGTGGTGTGCGGCTGAGCTGCCGGTTAAGGTGGTGAAGGGAGGTCTGCGACTCGGAGGCCTGCTCAATGCGGCGCTCCCACCCATCACCCCTGTACGCCTTGATGGCTGCCGACAGCTCATCCTTGACCCGATTCAGACGTGTCTTCACTCGCGGGGGCAGCGGGTGCGTGCCCACAGCTTCCTGAGCTAACTCTTTTTGTGCAGCCGTTCGAGGAGCCTACGCGGGAGTGTCTTTTCGGTGCACCTGTGGCTTGGTCGCCGCGCACAATTCTTCCTGTATTTTACAGGTGATTTTGCGCGCGGCCTGGTCCACGTCCTCCGCGGTTGAAATGGGTGCACCGAAACTGAAGTCGGACATGGCTCTCGAATAGGCCCCCCAATCGGTCCTGTACCTAGGGCCTCTGGGAGCCAATGAATTCGCAGCCAGACTCAGCACGATGAGCACAGGGAGGTGCTGCGTGTCCGCATCGTACAGCACCTCTACCTGGACAGGGCATGGCACTTTGTGGCAGAGCACGATGTCCAGGACATCCGGAACATGATCTTCGATGGTGGGTATGTGTGTGGGCTCGTCAGGGCCCAGCACCTCATAACCCACCTCCTCGGCATCTTCCTATAGACTCCTGCCTGCGGGGGTCTCAATTCTCGATCCCCACGATGGATGCTTGGTGTTGAGATACCCCGCTATAATGGCAGGAGTGTTGTCGGAACAGATATTCCGGATGTCACTGGCGTTGAAGGGCAATCCGGGCGGGCGATACGCAGCGAACATGCGTATCTCTTTCCCGCCCACGTGGAGGCATACTCCTATGGAGCGCGTGCTTGTAAAACTGCGCAGCTCCTCTTCATCGTGTACTAGGTCACGGACATTTACCACACCCGTTTTCAAATGCCTTGCCATCTTACCTTAAAGAGGGCCCCTGAGAGGCTACCATACTCACTTCACGTCGGTCTTCAGACGCCACCAGTTCACGTCGGTTTTCAGTGAGGTCGTGGTACTTCCCCGGATGGACCTGCCCATTTGTGCAACAGCACAGATTGCTGCGTGGCCCTACAGTAAGTAAAGTGTAAAGAGAGAGATGTTCAGTAGACAATATTTTGTATGTTGGTGCGCGTGTAATTTTTTAATAACAACACAACTTAAGCCTTTTTAAAGTGGCGTGACATAATCATAAGTGGCGGATTGTGCTGTACTATGCTCGTTGACGTGGTGTCTGTTATTAATGTGTTCGGGGCTCTCTCGTCACGTATCTAGAACGCGTGTTAGAACGTCGGTGATAGAAATAAATTGTTTCAGTAGTTCGTTTAATTAGTCGAGGGGATCGTCTAAAACGTAACTTATTAGTGGGCAATATGATATTTTTATGTATCATTCACATAACTTTTTATGTTTATATTTGTTATAAATCTATTGAATATCATGTATATTAAAACACTCCTGCTCAAATTCATTATCTTTTATGTTATAAATAAACAGTCTTTTGTTAATATGCTCATTACAAATAATCTTGCGATGCGATCATAAAATAATATGACACCGATTATGAAGAAACCACTAGAATTTACAGTTTTCACAATGGCAGAAATTTTGCAACTGTTGCCTTTAGATTAAAAAAAAGTAGTACTAGTAAAGTAAATATATTATTTGTATAAATTTAATTTCAAGATCAAATAATGTTGATTTTGAAGAATTAGGATTTCTATAGAAAATAATGCTTTCAACGATAATCGAAAAATATTCCACGGGGTCTACAAATAAAGTCTATTTAAGCATTTTTGATTCACCCATTGGAAATATATGCTGTGGTGCAGATGTAAACTTTTTGTACATCGTTGCGTTTGAAGATTCAAAAAAATTTGAAAAAATGCTACAGACTCTTAGTAAAGGAATTCATTGTAGTTATACTGAGGGTAAAAACGATATATTAAAAAAAATTAAAACAGAATTGAAACAATATTTTGATGGTGAAATTAAGAAATTTACGACACCTATTTCAACAATTGGCTCAGATTTTCAGAAGGTTTGTACTTAGATTGATTTTTCTTGACATGTTTTGTATATTACAGATAAAATGTTTAGATTTAGTAGGAGAGGTAGAGGTTTACTAGATTTTGGTTTTATAATTTATGTAATGGATGTGTTTTTTTTATCGTTTAAAAAATATTTATGAGAGAAAAAAACCTGTGCCTCTAATCTGCGCCTTTAGCGTTTAATAAAATAAAACATATTGTTCATATGGATTTTAAAACAAAAATCATATTCTTAAGTCAATTATTGAATTTAATATATACAGTGCAGCTTGTCTATAATATAGTGTACTTATTTAGAATGCACTTTAAAAGTGTGTAAGAATTGTTGCGCGTGGTAAAATTGTACGTACCGTATTACATAATTTTTATTTTAAATTCTAACAGGCATGGTGCTTGTGTATACAGTGAATACCCGTGTTAGGTGTTCCTGTATCAGAGATTTACTATGAATCTGCTTTATCTACCACTACTATATAATTTATAAAACAAAATGTTTGCTTATAACAGGAAGTGTGGAATAAACTTTTGGAATTACCCTATGGATCAACTACTACTTATGCAGAACTTGCTAAAGCTCTAGGCAGACCTGCAAGCCATGCAAGAGCTATAGGTGCAGCTTGCGGTGCTAATCTTCATTTAATGGTGATACCATGCCATAGAGTAGTTGCTTCTTGCTCTAAAGGAGGATTCAGCTGTGGCTTAGACAGAAAAGAGTGGCTTTTAAAACATGAAAAGAAATATTCTTCAGTTGATTAAAATCAAATTATCTAATCTGATCTTGATCTAAAATATAATCTTGTAAAGCTAAGACAAATATAATAATTAAGTACCATGTCATATAGTTAAGCTTATTTGCTGTAAGTACATAATATGATTGAAAATTATTGCATTTTTTACACATACCTGTACTCAGCCTACACAATTTTTATGCATTGTTTAAAGTTTTTAGTTTAAGCATTAAGACAATTTTATGTACATATATTCTATCAAACAAAATGTTAACGAGTTCAATTAAAGCTGCATTTTAGCTGCATTACAACAAAATATTTTTACAAAATGGTGATTATGTCTGTAGCAAACCTACTACTTAAAACTAATGGATAATTTAGGATCCTAAAATATTTAAAAAGCCAAAAAACTTTGGTAAATTTTCATTGTCTTGGAACATTGCATTGACAAATAAAAGCAGTACTATATAGCATTATCAGGCCTAAGATTTATTTGATTTACTATAAACATGAATGAATCAAACATTCCTCTTCATATGTTACAATGCTACAGGTAGTTGTCTACAGAGACTACTCTTGGGCTCTACGACCACCGGTTGTTATATTGTTTAGAAACTGCTATTAGAAAATATATTGCACTTTGAGGGAAGCTGTTTTATTATGATCCGGGTCAAGTATTGACTAACAATATAGTTAAAAAAACTGTTAGCAAAACACTTACTAGGTACTTTATTACTTATACCATACTAAAAGTATAGATGGACATCGAGTAGATGTTGGAAATTTTTTGTCTGTACGAACAAAGGCCTTTTATATAACTAACCAACAGCAATTTTCGAAATATTGATGATACAAATAATAACCTTCAATTGTAAATTTTGTATGTATGTTTTATAGTTGTATGTCATATAGGACATTTTAATATAATAAAATATTACAAATGAATGTATAATTATTTAAATACATTAACATCAGTATGCTTTTTTTTAAATCGAGTGGTTGGCTCTGTTACGAATACAATACCGTACCATGAGTCTCTCTATCGATATACGATATATCCGATTGTTATATTTCATGTGCATCTTGTCGATGTCGCGTCTCACGGACAGTGCTACGCGTGACCTTGTAGGTTGAGTTTGTAGTAGAGTCCTTGGGCGCGCATGAGCTCGGAATGGGTGCCGCTCTCCGCGACGTTGCCGTCCCGCAAAACGCAGATGAGGTCCGCGTCGCGAACCGTGCTCAGTCGGTGGGCGATCATCACGCACGTGCGACCGGCCTTAGCAGCGTCAAGCGCGTCCTGCACCACCTGCAAAAGAAATTTTCATTGGCGCTTGCACCGGGATTTGAACTCGGTTCGCTCGATTGTAATTAATTAAAAGCGAGTGGCGAACACTGAGCTCACACGGTTGACTTGCATTGTTCTAAGGCGCAAAGAAAACCTTAGGGACCTCAGAGCTATGTATGGCTAAGCCGTGGCTGTTGAACTCAAAAAGCAAACGCCTAACACACTACGCCACGCGCCAATGGTCCAAGGGTCGGCATGTAGTTTTAAGAGGGGTCCGGATACGGTTGAAAATGTTTATTAGTCCAAAAAGAGACTGATAATGATTAAGCACTATTTTTTATTTTTTTAAATTAGATAAAATTACGAAAGATTCCCGATACGAAGATTCTCATGACTTCTGAGTCTCTTTGTTGACAGTACCCAATCGTAAGATTCGAACTATGATTTTCGGACATTTTATGTCATAGCACACACATGTTCAGCCCCTATCTATCATGACTGGAAAGATATCAAAATGTAGTTCTTATTACAAGATTATGTCAAGATACACACTATGTTTTTTTAAATTTACATTTTCCGCAAAAACTATATCAAAATCAACTATGCTAATATATCGCTTATAATAATTTGTAAGTTATAGAAAAATTTGTTGAATAGATTGAGGTAAAACACATGTACAAATGATTGAAGGGGTAGTTATTGAAGCTATATTAAAGCTGCTTACTTTCTCGCTTTCGGTGTCCAAAGCGCTCGTCGCTTCGTCTAGGAGTAGCATTTTCGGTCGCCGTATTAGTGCGCGGGCAATCGCAATTCGCTGCTTCTGACCGCCCGACAACTGGGTGCCTTTGGAGCCAATGTTTGTGTCGTAGCCCTGAAATAAGATATTGATATATTAATCATACATAGCTCTTGAAAGGCGCAATTACATAAACACACATAAAACATACAAGTGCGCAATTTGAACCTTATAGCGATAACAGAAATCTCAAATCCCAATGTTGTGATGAAACTTCTTACCATAGGCAATGAAACAATGAAATTGTGAATGTTCGCTTGCTTCGCCGCTGATACGATCTCGTCCATGTTCGGTTTGCGCGAGTTATCACCGTACGCGATGTTTTCACCAATAGTTCTATCGAACAGGATAGGCTCTTGTTGTACGAAGCCGATCGCCTGTCGGGCGTCATTTAGCCGTAGCTTCGGTAGCGGTATACCATCAAATGCCTGAAATTAATCGACAATCCACATTAGTAATGTAATAATAAAGTGATATCATTCGTGTGTTTGGTGCACGAGTAATGTACCCACCACTATGCCTGCGTCGGGATCGTAATACCTCTGAAGGAGTTGGATAACGGTGCTCTTCCCGCAACCACTGGCGCCCACCAAAGCGAAAGTCTTCCCCTGTTCGATCTCCAGATCGAACTTTTTGAGCACTTGAATCAGGGGACGCGTCGGATACCTGAACTCCACCTTTTGAAGACTTGCCTCCCCTGTGCCTTTCTGTAATAAATAGTTGTGTCGTTAATGAAATAGTTAAAAGGTCCGATGTGGCTGCAATATTCATGTTTATTTTACACAAACACGTATAGTTCTGAAAAGAAAGGAAAATTCAATGCTTCACTTATTTACACATTGCCTTTCGTATCATTAAAAGCGCAAGCAACTCACAAAGTTTTCAACGGCAGGCTTGTCCGGGTCCTGTATCGTGGATTGTTTGTTTAACAGGACGATAATGCGTCCCGCTGCTTTGATGCCTTTCTGGAAGTTTGGAGCAAACGCGAAAGCTTGAGCCGCGCTCGAGGCACCCATTAGTAGCGCTTGAGCCGATCTGTGGATTGTTTCCGAATTGGAATCGACCAAAGTAAACAAAATGTTTAAATTGTGTCAAGATACCCTTTTGAAGGGTCAGACACCGATAAAAATCACATAGATTATACAATAAAAGACACTTTAAAATTAAGTTTTTAAGTTCTCACTACCTCCAATTGTTTGTTCCGCGAGTCAAGACATCGAAAGCGGCCAACGGACGTTTTTATTGGTTACAGATTCTAGTGTCTGCACTTTAGATGCGTGGTGAGGATGTCGACCTCTTAGTTAGTGGCTAGAGTCTAGAAGACGCAGGTTCTGATCCCGGCAGTAAACCGGCGAATATAGCAACAGATTTCTCTTCACATTTTTGTAGCATATTACGGTTTATTTACTACACTACGATCTACTATTTTTATGGTTTGGTTAATACCGGGAGAAATTAATTGGAGTTCAATATTCATGTATTTCACAAAAAAAATGTGTGTACATCAAACAGTTAGGTGTTTAAACGTGAAATTCTAAACAAACGTCGTACTTGAGGACGACAGCGTAGTCGACGCTCTCGTAAACCATCAGCGTGCCGCCGTAGTACATGGCGGCTGCGTAGACGAAGTTGAAGAGACCTCTGGATAGACCGAAGACGAGGCCTCGCCAGTGCGTGATCCGCTTTGCGGCGTGGAGGGCGGGCGTCAGTTGGCGAGCGTATTCGCTGACGAAGGTCTCCTCTCTGCCTAGAGAGGCGACAGTGCGCACGTTGGCCACCGCCTCTACTGCCACCTGGAAATTACTGGCGTGGTTAAGCGGCGATCTAGAGCTATATACAGCGTGTCGTTACGACCGCGACAATAAATGAACACACATATAGAGGATAACTTTTTAAAATTGTATTAAACATTTACATTCTTTAAACATCAATATTTACCGAGTTATTAAATTTTCCAAAACAAACAATTTTAGAACACCCTTACTTATAAAAGCGTAACGTAAACTTCATTTGTAAAGGTCACAAAGCATATGAATGGGTTGAATGAATTTAAAAGAGACAAAACATACTGTTAGAAGGAGAGGCTTGTAATGCGACGCTGTGGCGCGAGTTGTATAGGATGTTACAAAATTTGTTTCTTTTTTACTTAATTACTTTGTTTGAAAAATATTTTTTTTTAATTATGGATTTTGTTTATCGTTAATATTTTTTTATGATTATTGGCAAGTAGCGTTAGACGTGTTCATTTATTGTCGCGATGGTAACGACACGCTGTATAGTTCAGTGGTGACCTGGGATAGATCATCGTTTTCTTCAACAATAACAGCTTTAAGCAATAGTGGTCAGCTGTATTCTGAAAGTATGAGCAAATTGCATCACTTATATATCATCTTATTATAAGTTGGTGAAATAATCAAATTCAAAATATATTTATTCAAATAGACGCTTGCGCGTTCTTTTGAATCGTTGAATATTACATAAAAAATTATATATAGGTTCGTAAGGCACCTCCGGTTCGGAAAGCAGTTTCTGTTGAGAAGAGACCGGTAAGAAACTCAACACTTGCTCTTTTTCAAAAATGTCAGTTTACAATATAACATACATTACATTAACATAATGTAACCTCTTTAGTAACTCGTCTATTAACAAAACAAATTTTAGTAAATCTTTCTTAATAACTAGTTATAATAGTATTTTATAATAGTTACCTTGGAGCTGCTTTGCATCGTTTGTGCCGTTCCAAACGATTCGGCGCTAACTAAACGACCCTCTTTGTAGAGTATAGCCGACAGCACCGGTACAAAAGTCAGTGCCACCAATCCTACCCTCCATTCGTATATCAGTGAAAGGGTTAATGCAAAACTGAAGGTCCCAACTGCCTGTAGCACAGTCCCTATCCTTTGTCCGGTTGCCTGCAAGAAATACGTAAGTTTCGGTAAATATATGTTTAAATCCAAGTTTTCCGAAGTGTATGTACTTCCGAAGTGTAAGGCTCCCGAGATATAATTTAAGGGGTCCAGGATGAGCAACGTAATTTAGGCCGCGCACAATGAACTAAAGGGGTGTTTTTATGTGAAAAGATGGCAAGCGAGCAGGCGGTTCATCATATATTAATTTGTTACTGTTTCCAATGGACATCTACAATACCTGTGTGGTGGCAGATGCGCTAATCGTTAGAAAACATGTGTGGTTGCCCCGGTTACCTCACTCACCAGACGAAACGCGAAATTATATATTCCAGTTCACTAGTCTTCTCTGAAGCCGTGGTAGTTCTCTTTTAGAGCCTGCACATTCGTGCAACAGTATAAGCTGTTGCGTAGCCCTACCACGCTAAGCTTCTCTGAAGCCGTGGTAGTTCTCTTTTAGAGCCTGCACCTTTGGGTTGGTATGGCATAGCCCTTTAGGTTGGTATGGTATAGCACAAGAAGAAATTACCCCCTGTACTGTAGCCGCTTCACCGGAGAGACGCGCGCAAAGAGCCCCCGTCGAATTGTTCTTGTCGTCGTAAAACGCAATTTCTTGTTGTAGCAATTTGTCAAACATTAAGAGCCTCAGACGCGCCGTGAGATGTTCCCCAGCTATCGCGTAGAAAAACACCTGAAAACCTCAGCGTTATTCAGAACAAAATTATAAAACATCTATTGAAATTCACCGAAATCCAAAGACAATTGTTACCGTTATGAAATTGGAGATTCCCGTGAACACGCCTATACCGACGAAAATGAGGGCAAACCTTTGTATTTCTGCTAGCACTTCGTCAGAGTTGGGATTGGATAAGACCTAAAATGAAAGAAGTGATTAACCAACCTTACAAAATAGGGTTAGCTTAGTTAATTTAGTTTACTATCCGTTAGGTTAATTCAGTAAGTTATCAATTCATGGCCTACAGAAGATAGACTTGAAATGGAATCACTATACTTTTGCGTTGTCTGTTAAATGAGGGGGCATATTTTTAAAAGTTAGCAACTTATCTGCCAGCTCACTTGAATTGCTGTCCATGGCGATAATTAACACTCAAAATTCAGTTTACTTAGAACTTAGTGCCATCTGCTGGCTAGCAAATTTGACACAAACTTATTCTTTAATTAAATAATGGTCAATTTTTCTCTTTCTGCATAGATGCGAACTATCCATTTAGCCAGACTACGAATGGAGGCCTAAGAATGGCCGTGCCATACTCGTGCATGCAAAAAAGGGGAGGTCGGTACAACAGGTAACATGTTGTTAATGGCATTTTCGAGGTTTCTTCCAACCAGCCGTTTGTCCGGCCAGATCCGGAACAATTATCCGTGGTGACAAATACTTATATCACGGATAATCGTGGTGACAAATACTTGTATTAATGTAATAATAAAAAGGCGCCTTGAGTGTGACACCCATACGGGACCTTGGCCCAGACATAAAGCGTCGGCACAAGTGTTGAGCATTGCAAAAATTCAAAGAAAGGAATAATTTTTGGGCGCGGGGCGCTAAAAAAAGTGTTTTTCGATAATTTAATTACGAATATTCACGACTCTTTTAATAGTTTGTCTAGCAAATGCTTACACCGATGAAGTCACCAAGGATTACAGCCAGAAGGGGCATGCCGAATCCACTACACACCGAAAACAGACTTGCTGCGGTTATTGACTTCCATTCGGGTGAGTTGAGACGTACCACGCGCCAGAACGATGACCGTGCCTCATTCTCGATGTCTTCCTTCTCCTGTAAGTTTTAAAAAAATCGCCTAATTACCTTCTAGCCGGAAGCCTCACAGCAGGAAGGTGTTATGTATAAATAAAGCTCCAGAGACCTTCCTTACCGTAGAGCGATAAAATAATATAATAACAAATTTGTACTCACTAATTTACTTTAAAAAGAAAAGAAATATTAATGTTTAATTAGAAATGTTAAATACGTCTCGAAACATCCGCTACGCAAAACGCAACATTGTTCTTTATAATATTTATACGACTTTTTCCGGCTGGTATTGCATTGCTAATCTCATAATCGCATAATATGATAAACCTAATATCGCACCGTGCGTAGAATAACGTATTGTGGTAAGATAGAACGAATTTGATTTTATCATCGGAGTCTTAATTTGTTTATTGTCTACGCTTTCAGATAACATTTTATTATTTTTCGCCTGACTTATAGATATTGAGATTCAGAATAGAACTACGGTCCATCTGATTTAAGCTCCGCAGTACAAGGACATATGTACGTTTAGACACTGTTTTTTTCTACTGACTAAACTAAGCTTACTAAGTAATAGACGAGTGTAGAATACTCTATTAGAATCAATTGATAATTATTGCACAGTCACCCACTTTTATGGTTTATTGTTAAAAAAAAGTGCTACATGCGTTATGTCATACATATTTTCTGCGTTTTTAGTAGAACAACGTTATATATGAAGGTGTGACCTATTATTTTTTTTAAATGATCCGTTGAACAACGTAATATAAACGTCACTATTACACATGAAACCTCTTATTTCCTAAAATTATATAATTATTTATTCAAAATGTATACTGTTTGTTTAAATAAACAATCATTTTACAAACCTCAAAAATTGTAATAGCAACAGCTATATATAAGAAAACTATAACCAAAATTAAAAAAAAAAAATTGTATCGGCCGTCCTGAAAAATTACAATTTTGCAGATGTCGCGTTATTCGACGCGGGGTGCGATATGATAAAAGCGTTTTGTTGAATTTAAAATAATTATTCACTTCTATTTTCGTCTTTATTTCTTCATCTTCGTCTTCCTCGACCATTTCAGATTCTTTCCTTGCTAACACACGTGACCCATCTGTAAAATTTAAATATTGTTACAAAAAAAATTGGTAAGAGTAAATTGTAAACAGCTTTTAAGGCCAATATTAAGTACCTGAAGCCTCGTCATTCTCCGGCGATGACTGTATCATTACCATATCATAGTAATGACCTCTGCTCTTCATAAGTTCTTCGTGATTTCCGGACTCGATGATTGTACCACTTTTGAAAACGTAGATTAGGTCTACGTTTCTTATAGTCGATAGCCTATGAGCGACGACAATAGTTGTTCGACCTTCCTGAGCCTAAAAGAAACCGTTTAAACACACATACACCTTAATGCGTACAAAAACGGTTGGAGTATATTATGTAGTGCAAGATACGATGACGTAACTACAGTAGTAGATATCTCGTAAACGCAAAAACCTCTATAAGTTAATATTTTTTTTTTCACATCTGGCAGAGCCTAAAACCTCTTTCACTTAAAATACGAAGCCCCGATAACTTAACGAAAAAATGGCAAAACGAGAAAAGGGCAATGTATCTAATTAATTTGAAGTAATTTTTTTACAACCTCATTAACTATCGATTGTGTCTCAGTATAAGAGGCTGGTTTAAGATTCTATGGATTTATTTCTTATGCTTTGTTCCTTTTTCCCATTTTAGCTTTTAGTCTTTATTCAAGAATATTTTATCATTGTGTTTAGACAAATTAAAAATGTTATAGAAATATTTAAAATGAAATTTCAAACACTCACGTACGTAAATATAAGAGTGATCGAAGCAGTAAAAATTAATTTGAAATAGTCTTATCGAGGTTTTTTTTGTATAAAGTTACGTTTGCTTAAAGTTTCAAAAATCATTTCATAGGTTGGTTTGATAAAAATTGTTTATAGTGAAAAATTGTATATCGTGAGGATACATTTTTGACTCAATTATATGTATCGTTCGACAAGCCAATTCTGACGCCCGGGTCTGTAATCGAGCGTAAGACTATATTTTATTTAGCAAATTATTGTATTCGAATTATTTCGTATTTAACTATCTGGATAATGGCTCTATGTATAGCCCCCATTCTAGTAAAATATCAGGTATCGGTCGCGAAAACTATCCTCACCCTGTCAAGTGCGGCTTGCACTTTGGATTCGGACGATGTGTCTAAAGCGCTGGTTGCCTCGTCGAGCAGCAATATGCGCGGGTTGCGTATCAGCGCACGGGCGATGGCGATTCTCTGTTTTTGTCCACCAGACAGCGAGGCGCCGCGCTCGCCCACCAATGTGTCGTACCCCTTTAATACGAAAAGAATGAAACGAGACGCACGATAGACTCATGCGGGGTACAGTTTAGGCGCCCTCAGGTACCTCAAGCCCGGTGGATCTGTAAAGGCCAATAGTAGACGATCCAGCCAAAAGAAAAAAAAATAGACTCCGAATTCACTGTCGAAACCATCGAAACATAATCACAATACAAGTTTAAAGCGGAAACACGGAGACATAATGTTAACAAAAAATAGTGGAAGATGAAATTATTAGTGATATAAATGAAAAGTGATTTAAATTTTTGGTAAATCGGACTTACGACCTAAAATTAGAACTACATCGGCAGCATAGTGAACTCTATGCTTTCTGTTCTGAGATAACTCTATGGTGTTATACTTTTGAGTTTTTTCTGGTAAGGATCCAACTTTTTCGATAAGCTGGCAACGCAATATCCGCCACATGGCGCACCCATGTGGCGGATACATTGGTGGTGGCCATCCAGAACCGTTTCTTTCTTATGTTTGCTACCTTTTGACATAAAAAAAGAAGATGAAAAAGCCTTTGTATATCCCACTGCTGCACAAAGGCCTCCTCTGCCGTACAGAGGGTATTAGGGCATAGTCCACCACGCGACCCCACAGCGGGTTCAATATCTTCGATATTATTATTAAGTATTAAGTATTTAGAAAATATCTTCTCACATAAACATCAGAAATAGAAAGAGTAGCCTTCTTCGTAAACAGCTCTCGCTAGTATTTAACACTCACCGCCGGCAGTTTCGTGACGAAGCGGTGCGCGTTGGCCTGCTTAGCGGCTGCTTCGATTTCAGCGTCGGTCGCTTCGGGGCGCCCGTAACGTATGTTCTCCCGGACCGTGGTGTTGAACAGCACCGGCTCCTGCCCCACCAGGCCGATCTGGTCGCGCAGCCAGCGCACTGACAGGTTCCTCACGTCGTTCCCGTCCACGTGCACCTGGTATAACGATATAATGTGCACTCTGTAATCTTGCGCAACTTGTGTAACTGCTCCGGCATTCGACTCGTTTCATTCTTAAAGCTAAGTACCTAAATATCTTATCATCAAATGTCAAGTCTTGTAATTCTGTTTAGTGCTCCAGTTATACTGAAATAGGTTTCTGTATTACTGTGTCAATTTAGGTTTCTGTGTTTCTGTATCTTTTGTATATTACTGTATCAACTTTATATGTATTTTACTGAACGTCCTGTATACCTACTATATTACAGACTTACTCTATTATGAGCACAATTTGTAATTTTAAATAATTTAGACTATGAATCTGCCTATTTAGCATAATCATTAGATCCGGGTATGGCCATTGAGTTTGAAAGTTGAACAATTATTTTCAATGTAATTTATTTACAGTTAATCATTGTAATTTGATGGTTATAATAATTCTTAATAAATATATATTGTATATTATAATTTAGCTGAGTGGCAAATATTATATTTAAGTTTCTCCTATTTGCGAACACATACAAAATTTATCCATCAAAGTCCCCTCTAAGGTAAGTACTTGGTGACCTACTTGTGTTAAGTTATCCGTAATAAGAAAAACATAAGTTTAAGTAATATAATGAAAAGAAAATCAACGATATGGACCTTTTCAAAAAATAAATTTATCCGGCAAATAAAGAATTGATACGATTACAAAAATGAACTGATACAGAGTTAGTACAATTTTATTGCATTACATTTATCTGTTCATGCTATCTTTGTGTGTATAAGATATCAGTGAGTGTGTATTAGTGGTATGTTTATAAAAATCCATTCCACAATGCTAAATCAAAATATAAATAACCTGAACAATTACTCTATACGTTAATAATATCTTATAATAAAAAAAAAAAAACGTTTTACATTTTATTATCACTTACATCGGATAAGATTATTCTGTTTTTAAACAAGTTTTACAACCGCAAATTTTACACCCATTTACTACTATACTCGTTATTTGATTTCATTGAATTGAATATTGGACTATATCGAAGCTAAACCGAACCCAATGCAAAAAGAATATCATTACTCGTACTTGTAACAATTGTTAAGTTATCGTACACTTATCGACTTTTTAAACATGCTTACCTTTAACTGGAAACATGTAAATCTTAGTTCCTAAGCCTATTGTCAATTTTTTTTTTCATAACAACATTTTATTCCGTTGGTGGTTCTATCAGTAAATAAATAAATAATGGGCAGTCCCATTATTTATCAACTTCAAAATGGAGGCAGTCCTCCATTTTGAAGTCGGTTGAAAAGAGAAAATGTGTCAATCGAGTAGACAGTCATTCAATTGTTACTTACGCTGCCGTCGACGATGTCATAGCAGCGCGATATGAGTTGGATGATGGTGGACTTTCCGCAACCCGAGTGACCCACCAGCGCCACCGATTGCCCGCGCTTCACGCTCAGGTTCACGCCTTTTAAGACCTGGTGGTGTTACAAATATATGAATAACATTTAAAATCTGGCGGAGAAACGAATAAGTAGAAACAGAAATTATATGTTTCAATTTTACTTACGGGCACATCAGGTCTGGAGGGATAGTGGAAGTAGACGTCTTTCAATTCGATGTTGCCTTCTATTGAGTCGGGCACCACGCCACGATTCATCAGCGGATTGATTGTGGGCACCTGGTCGATGAGGTTGAAGATCTGGGCGCCGGCACCACGCGCTATACCGAACACCTCCATCAGAGTGGACGATATACCGAAATTTGCGGAGCCCATCAGAACACCGAAGAAAACCTAATGAAAAAATTCCGTTGATAATATTATTATATCCAAGTGCAAATTAGTGTCTGTAGAGTGACTTGAAGATAGGAAAGAAAATAACTAGAAAGACTGTTATAAAATATAGTATGTACCAGTGTTGATTTAAGAACAGAGGCTATTAAATTTTGATGACTCGAGGTTGAATATAATATGCTGCTAAAAACCCAGTACAAGTGTTGACTTGACGCGTAGGTGTACCGCTTCCTCAAGTATCACATTTTCGAAAAACCATTGATATTTGTTATTTCGCTTTCAATCGTCTTTTACAACTGCAGCCAATAAAATATAATGAAAAGTGTTACTTTTGTATTTGGCAACTATCATAGTTTGCCAAATACCGTAAGATTCTGCTACTGCAGTGATGGATTAAGATATAGTGAGGAACATGTGACGGACAATGTAGACAGTAACGACAGTTAAAATATGTAGAAAAAGTGCGAAAAGATTGTCGCCGCTGTGGGAATCGAACCCACGTCTTCGGCATTCGCGGCCTGACGCTCTAGCCACTGAGCTAAACGGCTGATTACCACACCGACGAAAATCTTAACGCATTCTTCCACATTGTTTTCTTACGACAGTTTTTACGGTGGTAGGGCCATGCAGCAGCCTCGGCTGTTGCAGGAATGGAAAGGCCCGTCCGGGTAAGTATCACGACCTCACAGAAGACCAGCGTAAAGTGGAAGTATGACAAATACTTTCGCGTTTCGTCTGGTGAGTGAGGTAGCCGCAGCCCAATTTTCAAACGGTTGTCAACACATCTGTAACCCTCGGGTGTAGCAGATGTTCATGGGCGGCGATATTCACTTACCATCAGGTGAACCGTCTGCTCGTTTGGCAACTTTCACATAAAAAAAAAGAACACTTACCGCTACCATGGTGTTAACGTCGTAATTCTCCGGCTCATCCACCATCAGTTTATAGCCGAACCAAAAGGACATAGCGTAGGAGCAAAATATACAGAAGAATAGGAATCCCATCGCCAAGCCGGTGAAGAATCCTGAAAATTAATTAAACGCTGAATAAAACTATTTTACCGTTTTCATCGCATCACTTAATTTGGTCTAACATATCAGCATGACGGTTGATCATGGTAGGGAGTTGATAAACAAAGTTAAGGATTTCACAATCTTTTAATTAATACTTGTCAAGTATGAAAGTTAAGACAAGTATATAATCATAGTTCACTTCAACTTCAAGAATTTGCTAGCTATTGTAAAACTTATGACATCACGACACATGTTACTCGTTGATGATTCATATCATTAGATGCGATATCCACATAACGTCAATTAAAATATATCTTTATGATTCAATTGATTAATGTACAATATTTTACGAACACGTAGTAGAGGGATGGTAAGTTGTGAGTAATACTAGAATTGTATAGTAGCTTTAGTTTTTACTTAAATTAGACCATAACCATATCAAGTTAGTCCTAAATTGCTTATATTTTAGTTTAAAATTACACCTCGTTTCATGATGAACCTAAAACATGGCACGAATTGGCAGGTCATGGTGACCACTTAAATTATTGTTTTTTTACCGTAAATAAAAATTTAAATTGTTGTTTTATTTCTTCAAAAAAATACTTATCTTGCGAAATAAAACAAACGGTTGCCGATAACTTTCCATAAGCCTAGTTGTACTTTGTAATAAATAAACACAAAAGTCTGTAACAAGTCATTATTTTTAAAATCATTACTGAGTTTCTCCACAGTTTACTATGCGCGCAATAATCGCCAAATACTAACGACACCTTGATAATTGGCGGCGTTTACCTAACTTTCAAGAAGATGGCCATTTCTAAGTCAAAGTCCGATAACGCTGTTACAGTTCCTATGGTTTGAATGTCCACGGCTGGCGGCGATCTTTCATTATCAGATCTGCCGGTTGCTCGTTTACCATAACCATTGGGAAATTATTCAGTTTGAGATTTGACTATCGCATGGTCTTACCTTTTTTGATATTGATACTTCTAGACTCATCCAGATACGTCCTGTATCTGTCTATCTCTTTCTCTTGTCCACTGAAAGCGTAAACGGTTCGCACAGCGGACAACACCTCCTCTGCCACGGCCCCAGCTTTACCAGATGCCACAGCCTCTTTTTTAGACAGTCTCGATGCAATCTGACAACGTTAATTGTAATGTCGCGTTATTCGTTAAACTGGTTTAACCTATGTAATTATTCCACCTGCCATAACATCACACCACACCGTTGAGGTGGTTGAATGTGAGTGAATGCCTAAAGTTTTATCCCTTTTTGGTGTTTTTTTTTATATTTTCAAGGAACTGCAATAAACATCTTCTACAATATCAAACATCGAGAGCAAGAGTAAAATTATTATAGATAGATATTTAAACGCACTTATTCAATTTGCAATATAAATAATCTTGCAAGACTAATTACGCAAACTCATTAAAAAAGTAAATGATACAATCTAATCTCAGATTGATTGATTGTGCAACATTATATTAAAAATTTTGTTTTTTTCATAACTTTTGTATATGTCTTAGCATTTTAATAACCGATTTATTTTCATTTGTACTATTGTCATCAACTCAATATATTATGTATAACAATATTTTTATTGTAATATAATGAAAGAAAAACCTATAGTAGACAAATTGAAGTCTATTATATAGTAACTACCAAAAGATAGTCTGTAAAAAATACTCACCAGTCCAGCGATGCCAACCAAAAACAAAGTTACGGGGAATGTTATCAGGCAAAGTAATGCGAGTTTCCATCCCTTTATAAGAGCCATCGCTATGGAGCTAACAAAAGACGACTGATAGAAGACAAACGTGCCCAATTTCTCACCGATGCCTTCCTCCAATTTCACGACGTCGCTGCAAAATTTTTGGCATGAATCATTGTTTATGTGTATAATAATACAAAAGTTTTAACATATAAAAATACATATAAAAATGCGAAGAAAAACGTTACAGAAAATACGGGCCGGACCATCATAGCAGTCCATAAGGTTCATGGTCAGCTATATACAAAATGGATGAGATGAGGTAATGATACCTACCATATACTGGCCACAAAGTTGGTACCGGCGGTTTCACGTGGCCCTGAATTTCTCATATAAAGACATTCCTATAGCCTAAAGAGTATTGTATTTTAATTTATAACCATCGTTTTGACAAAATCATTGTGCCAAAATAGAAACATTATATTTCTGTTAAATTCAGTTCAGTTAGTAAGGTATAACAAAATATGAAGAGAATCACACAAGGTTACGATTAAATCGAAACTACGATTTAGTATTGTCGGGGTAAGAAAATTTTTATCCTATTGAAGAATTTATTTCTAGAGTAATGAAGATGTTTTAAATGTGTGAGCTTAAAATTTAGACGCAGCAATATGGATAAAATGTAAACATGCGTCGATAGAAGGTACAAAATATCTATGTCACGTATTTACGATGATACTTTGATTTATAGTCGTGCAAATATTTGCATGCCCTTTTCTGCTTTTGTTTCCTTAATAGTTTTAACTTTTACAAGATAATATGACTTAAGAATAGAAATAAAATATGGAACAACTTTACTTTCATTTCTAGACCTAAATGAAGACTGAATAAGAAAACACTACAGGAAAATATAATTCGACCTCACGATGAAAAAATAAACTTTTTAAATCGAACTTTAGACAACTGTTTGTTGCGAAAATCTGACATTGTAACAAAACAGGTGTTGTCCATAGTCATAATGAAAACAATAGGTACAGAAAACCTTGTTTACATTTAAGTATTGATAATGTTATCAACTACTTACTCAGTCATTTTAGACGCGAAATCACCAGTTTGATGCATATCGAAGTACTCAAAATCCTGGTTCAACGCCGCTTTGAGATATTCTTGACGTATTTTGTATACCTGAAAAGTTGTAGTGTATTGCAATTATGAAAAGATAAATCACAATAAAATTTCAAAGAAGTAATAAATTCAATCAGATCATATTAAAAGTTTTAATCGTTGCGAAAGTTTTCGACACGGGCTGCAATGTAGCAATTCTTACATTTTACATTCTCATAGTGAATAATTTACTTTTTCACCGACGTAATTTCTAATACTTTCAAGTAACAAGATATACTGTGATGTTTCGTCTGCTAGCCTGTTCCAACAGTGTTTGTTGGGTTATAGGTTTATGAAATCTATACATTGATATTCTGTCATCATCATTATCAACATAAGCATCACCAGCGTCGTAGTCTACTTTTGGACATAGGCTTCGAGGCTGCCGACATTAGGCAACGAGCCGCCCCACGCTATCGATTGATCTTCCCCTTTGCTTACTCATTCAGTTGGTTCCTCATACATCGCGGAGATCATTATTCTACTTAGCCAGTGAACGGCTTCGTTTACCTGGAAGATGTCTCTTTTTATTTCATGATGTAATCATGTCTTTTATATGAAAAGGAGACAAACGAGCAGGCGGAACGCCTGAGCGTAAGTGCCGCCCACTATCAAGGCAAGAAGAGCATCATATATGCATTGCCGGTCTTTAAGGAATGTAAAAACTCTCGCCGTCTCTAATAGTAGTCATTACTGCGTGTAACGTTGCCAAATAATTTACAGTTAAGACGCCATATTCGACAGTTTCTCGGTTACTTTGATTCTCTCGGATATCATCCTATCCACCAAAATCACCTATCAACTAAAGAGAATTCAAACACTTTCTATTGTAGGCTGAGGGACTTCGATCTCTTAAAATAGTCTAGCAGCTGTTATAGTTTTCTAGTTTACTGTTTAAAGTTCAAAACGTTCTTGGTACCATGCCGCATGTACTAGTTTTATTAGATATGGACAATATTTAAATAACAACTTTTTAATATTTGTAAATATTTTTTGGGTATTAGTTTCTTTAAGTTTCCGGGTGTTTTTCGACGTAAAAAAAATGTAATTAGGTACAGAAAAATCATTAATAAAATATTCACCAAGCAAAATTTGGCGGTCGCTTATAGTTTTCGAGAAAATAAATTATTTAAAACGTAATTTTCACTAAGAAAGTTCACCATTTTTACCAATTTGACTTCAAAAAAAAACTGAATACACAGTACCGCCAACATGAAAAATATAGGAAGTGGGCGAAGATTAATTTTCTTTTAATTTTAAGAGTGACAGATCCGACACAGAGCGATCCGACTCGGATAGGTTAGGTTAGAAGGTTCGCTCCCGCCTTAGCCTTCGATGTTAGGTTTTTTTTTTATGACCACCCAGAAAACTTTAGTGTAACAGTACTTTTAGTATTTTTAAAGACTCTTTTTTAATAATGCGAAGGTTATAATTTGGAAAAGTGTGTGAATTTATACATGTTGTCAAACACAAAATGGCGGATTAATTTAGTGAAAATAACAAGTTTTAAATATATTTTTTTCTCGAAAACTATAAGCGACCGCCAAATTCTGATTGTTGATTATTTCATTAGTGATTTTTCTTAACCGAATAAACTTTTTGTTTGGTCAAAAACACCCGGAAACATAAGGAAATTTTTACCATTTTTTGTTCTAATATATATTCATAACTAATATTTAATATATATTCATTAAATAAAAAAATCAATTTACCTGATTATAAGCGGAAACGTTCATAAGTACTGTGGCTGCATATGACAACGTAACAAGTATAGCTCCAACTAAACAGTTGTACAAGGCGAAAAGACCGACATCTCTGAGGAACTCATCGTTTTGAGGTTCACCCATAATGACAGATATGCCATAGTCTACCATACTTTGTAGTAAAGAGGCGAACAGCAGGGTGTTTATTGGTGTTGTTACTCCACATAATATCGAACATAGTATCCCAAAAAATACGAAGGCCTTGTCTCTGGTAGTCGCAAATCTAAACTAAAAAAACATGGCTTTAATGTAAGCTAAATTTGTCATAGATTTATTTGCACCAAAGGAAACACGTACCAGTGTGAAGAATGAGATGTTAGGCAACTCTTCTGTCTTTGATTCTGCCTCAGATGAGCTGTAACAACGGTTAAGGTACAAAGATTATTCTTTAAGAGAAACCGACAGAACGAACAATCAAATGCACGTTTAAGAGTAAAGCAAAGGTGTTGTGTTCATAACTTCAATTGATATTACCAGAATCATGGGCAGCAATTTGAACAATGTTGACGTAGAGATGTGATTGAATTATATAAATTTAAAAAAATGGTCCCAAATTTCAAGTCTTACAACATTGGACGGTAAACTGTACAAATAGAATAATAATTTTTTTGTGTATAGGTAGCAAACGTTTGCGCTCCGTCCAATTTCAGACTTTTCTATAATAAAATTCGCACTTTAAAAATGATGATACTTATGTTATACTGATGATAATATGAACTTTTTATGATTAGCTCACAGCACTCATTACTTTATTTCGATAACAAAATGTCACTTTTCTGTCCTTCGAGACAAATATTTAATGTAAAAGAGAATAAAAATGACATTGACTGTCAATTTGTTATAGTAAATTCATGGTACTCATTATCTTTTTTATAAAGACAATGAAGAAGAGAGCTTATCTGGTAAATATCAGTGCTCATTACTTCCGGTGAAAATAATTGTATGGTATATTTTTGTCAATGTAACGTGCGTTTCAGTAACTCATTTCAGTTGTTAATTCAATGATGTTTAATAATATTATCATTGTTGCTAATTATCAATAATATTCTTGGGGTCAGCCTCCTCTATCATATTCCATGACTCATTCACTTCGACGTTGTGTTTTAAGTAATATCATCTTTCTAGTTTAACTCTAATTTAAGAGAATGCTATATTATATTCATTCAAATTAGGATTTTCTAACCTTGGAATATTAAATAAATCCATGTCATTACTATTAACATCTATTTTAGTCAAATAGTTATTGATAAAAGATACTGATAAAAGTTTGCATCACGCATATCACACAAATAACCGTTTCCAATAAGGAAACGCTTATTTATGTGATCATTGGCGTATCTAGGGCCATTTTCCAGGGTGGGCCTAGGCCATTACTACAAAAAAAAATCAAACATTATTCATATTGTAGTAGAGAAAATTCGAGAATTTCAATATCTGCACCCGTACGAAGCTGGGGCGGGTTTTCCGGGCACTAGTTTCCTATATGAAGAAGAGTTATGCTTGAGAACGTCTCTTCTCCCACGGTAGATCTCAACTGATTTTTTTGGATAGTTTCATAGGTGTCCAGCCTAGAATTTCGAATCGGTAACCCAAAATCCTGGGGTGGGCACTAGACGATACTGGGGTGGGCACGGCCCACCCGGCCCCCCTGCTATATACGCCTATATGTGTGATGTTGCTAGAGGAACGGATTAAGAGTTTGTTAGTAAATAAATTCCCAATAATTGATAAAAATAAATTTAATTTTCCCTAGTTAAACCTTTTTTTATGTAACTCCTGTTTGTTAATTCTAATGTTATATAGGTGGTATTTTTACTTTCATTGAAGTATAAAATAAAACTGCTACTGTTTGATAGTTTCATTACGTATTATCACCTTTATAAATTTTTATTTGAAAAGCTGCCCAACGAGCAGGCGGTTAACCTGATGTTAAGTGATAATCGCCCTATACGGATATCTACGCAATGTATCTGACAGTTTGAATCTGCATTGGCAACCACTAAAACAACTCGGTTACCTCACCCATCACACGAAACGCGAAAGTATAATACCTCATATCACGCCAAATTTCTGTGAGGCCTTAGTACTTCACAGGACGAGCGCCCCATTCGTGCAAAAACACAATTTGCTGCGTGGACTACGTAAGGCTCTATCGCATATGGCCTATCATTTAATAAAGTGCCCTACCCAATTCAAGTCTCAGTTCTCAGGCCAAAAATGACGCTTTTGTACATATTACTTGGACATTGAAAGCATTTGTAGCGTTCGTCTTGTCAAAGAGAGTAGCTGAAGACAATGTCGCCGAACCAAATCTGAATTGAATGCGCAACCTGGGTTGGTTGCGCATTCAGTTTTCAAAACATTACTCTTCTATAGGAAAAGGTGTAAAATAGATTATCCTAAACTATCACCGATTGAAAAGCGCCACTAAAAGTTAGAAGTACGCGAAGATTGCGTGCGATTGTGTCAATGAATCTAGGAAAATTTATCAACTGGAGAATAAAGTCAAAGGTTATAGTTACCGGAAGTCTATGTCGTAATGCTAAAACCGTAATATTTGTAATATACCCACCCGCTAAAACCGTAATATACCCACTTTCTCTGTTAAAATTTGTATGCTCCTTTATTTTAATTATTTCAAATATGAACCGTGAAAGGACTAGTTGATCTTTGCGAAGATTGGAAACAAACCAAATTCCATGTAACGATTTTTGCAATTTACCCATAGTTGTCAAATTATGCAACCATAGTTCCATTATTACATTATAATAACAGAGACCGTTAAATGATGAGCACGATAAAATCCGTTAAATCGTTTTCTTTTAACATTATATTCGTGTACATAAAAAATTATGTGTGTTCTTATGACCGCACGAAGTTATACTTCTTTAGCGTAAAGACATTAAGTGCAATTCATAACGGTTAATATAAATAACATGAAATTATTGGTAATTGTCAAAAAGTTGTTTTCTAATTGGCGCTGTAGAGATAGATAGAGTAGCTGCAGATTCCAACGACTCTGTTAATGGGTTCAATTTCAACTTGAGGCGATCTTGTATGTTGTATAAAGTTATCCTAAATTTGTAGCTCATATTAAGAGATTATATGGCAACAGTTGCATTGTTGAGTTTCTTGTCGGTCTCTTCTCAACTGAAACTGCTTTCCGAACCGGCGAAAACATACTTAAGAACTTTGTATCAACTTATATGTAAAATTCGACGTTTCATAAGAACGCGCAAGCGTCTTTTAATTAAAGATATTGTGAGTTCGTTGATAATTACAAAAAATAAACTAAATTTCTTCCGGTCGTTACTATTTGCTTATGTGAATTGTGGAGCTAAAAGTAAACTTTCTGTAATTAGTTGTATTGTTTTTATTGTAATGAAAATTATAAGAACACGTATTTTGATCTAAACAATATGTGTCATGAAACCATAAAATGTCTTAAGATTTAAATACATTATGAAACAAACTCTACAATCATCAGCTTTAAATAATAGGAACCCTGAATCTTTCAATACCGTAAGCCTATAGTATTGTGTCAACTTAATAATAGAAATAAAGAAGAACATTACGAATATGATAAGTGACGCACAAAACGATCGTGACCATTAAATTATTAATCATTCATGCAACTTTTGCATGATGTAAATCGTAGCCGATGACTAGAATTTCAAGAATAATTTATAATAAAGTTTCCTAGCCTTTTGGCGTAACTACAAAAAAAGATCTTCTTAAATCGACAATTAGTTGCCAGTATTGCCAACACGATATTTGTAAAATATACGTAATTGTCCGTCCTCATATCTCTGAGGATCGCTATGAATTTTCGCTCCACACCGTTAATTGGTGTGCATTATTATTCTTGGTCTTATTTTCAATTGCTTTGAAATAATTGAATTTTTCTTATCTTATCTATCTATCTCATTCCTCTGTACGAATGAACAGGAGGCAAACTACGTAGAGGGATTCAGGGGTCGTGGAAAATGTGTGGTGCAACAACGTACAAGCTACGTAAGCAGTAACAGAAATACACCATGTTAATTGACCTGATCAGTTTTAATGAATTTGTACTATGATAAAGTCATACTGATTGTTACCAGCATTTAAAAAGTTTATGTGACACATTGAAGGCGATGAAAACTTTATATTTAGGTTTAACTTGAAAATAAATACCAACACAACGGCTCTAAATGCATTTGAGAGTTTTTCAATACGGTTAGCAAAATAAAGTCCCATAACAATATTAATTATGTATTATAAATTATTCACATTTAATGTAGCTTGAAAAAATATGCAGTTTTTGATTAAAGCTATAATTTTAGTTTTAATTTAACCTTCACAATATAAACATATTAATAAATGAAAATCTTTCTTACCTGTCTTTATCACTTCCAGGCACATTTTTTGTGAACTCAACACTGGACAGATCATTAACTTTATATTTTTTTTTCATGTTTAATATATTTAATTTGTTGTCTTTCGAATCATTCATGGCGGAATTATATATAATTTGTAATTTTGTTTTTTAAGCACTTGTCATTCATTACTTTTCTCGTAAACGCGAAATACGTTTCTTTACTTTTTTTTGTATAAATCAGCTCCGTTTGTAGTGTTCGCACACCTTCACTGTTACGATTCAACTATCTATGATAGGACTTATCAAATAGATAATTTCGAACGTTAATATCGTGGCGACCTTTAAATACAACATGGAACATTTTAATATATTTAGTTTAACTCCCTTAATATCTTCTAATAAGAAGTTTCTTTCATAGTTAACAATCACGTCAAACTCCTCGGATGTCTAAGGAAGACTGATCTTCTTTCATTTAGTTTGTGGTCTTGGCCGCTTAGTTATCACTATTTGCGCAATTGCTAATTAATTGCATCCAACATTATCTCTTTTGGAATTTTCGTTTCTGTTACAATTGTAATTATACAGATGGATTGAAAGGATCAGGAAGTAAATAGATAATATAAAAATAAGATTATAGAGCAAATCAACAATGGAAAGGATATTTGGGTTATCAAAAAAATGATGTTTAGGTTAAATAGTATAAGTACTTTAATATTGATGTATAAACAATAGACTTAATGTAAAGAAAATAATCTATATGTACATGTTATTATCAGTGAATTATTAAATGCTAGCCGTAATATTTTATAGATAAATGTTTATAACAAGACTTGTAATTCCTCTTATATTGGCAAAAATATAATATTTCCGCGCGGAAAGTTTCATAGTATAAAAACAAATATCACAAGATGTCCAGATAAAATTAATAGAATATGTAGTAGCATTTTAAATTCATTCATTGTATTCATTAAAATGTCATCATTCAATCATTGAATGTCGCGTTGAAGTTGACATTAAATGTCAAGTTCAACGAGTGTCAGAACCTCGTATGCGACGCAGCTCAAAGTGTGCCAAATAAACGGCAACGTTGGTAAGGGGGTTGCGCAGCTACGTGTGACCTTGCCAGTTGAGTTTGTAGTAGAGTCCTTTGGCGCGCATGAGTTCGGAATGGGTGCCGCTCTCCGCGACGTTGCCGTCCCGCAGCACGCAGATGAGGTCCACGTCACGAACCGTGCTCAGTCGGTGGGCTATCATCACGCACGTGCGACCGGCCTTAGCAGCGTCAAGCGCCTCCTGCACCACCTGCAAAAGAAATTTTCATTGGCGCTTGCACCGGGATTTGACATCGGGTTGCTTGAGTATAATTTATTAAAAGCGAGTGCCCGGAAACTGAGCTATCATGGCTGACAGTGAAGTACTTGTCTACTGTACTAAACACTTGACCAGCGTATGTCGGGCTTAAGCCGTGACTGCCGAACTCAAAAAGTACTTTGCAAACGCTTAACACTATGTGTTCGAAAGTCCTCCTGCACCACCTGCAGAAGAGATGCCGGTCCACCTGATTAGTGAGTGCCACCGCCCATGTACATCCAAAACACCCTTTGCGTTTTAGCCTTTGGGCTCGCCGGACAAAATACAGTAGTAAAAAAGCCTCTTATGCCTCCGGTCGTTGCACTATGATTCTCCCCCGTACAACCAAATTGTGTGAGGCAACCTAAAGACCCATTTACACGGTGCCAGTTTCTTGCCTGTTGTATACAATTAAATTGAAGCAATAAATGAGTTGCATGGTCTAAACAACAACGCGCAATTTATTGCATTCAATTATTGCTCTTGTATGTACAAGAAAATGGCATCGTGTAAATGGGCCTTAAGAAATATGACTAAGTCATAGCTGTTGAACTCAGAAAGTAGTTTGTACACGCCTTCCACAATGTCTTAAACATTTTATTCAAAAGTCCATCCACTCTCGAAGACTGTTCAATATCAATAATAAATTTGTTCCCACATCCTTGTAAAAGATTTTTCAAAGTAATGTCTTGTTAGTAGATAAAGTAATATACACAATTACACCGATTTTTATCGCCATAATGACGTCCTGGGACGTTTACAGAGTAAGTAATAAATTCCGTTTTGAACTTAGCCAATACCACACATGGGTATTAGACGCTATAACTTACAACTAACTTTTTTGAAAGAAAAAAAATATTAAAAACACTTTCCTTATACCTTTTGTTTTATAAGTTGCACAATATACCTTTACAACTGGTAAATTCTTACCATTTCGCTCTCAGTATCCAACGCGCTCGTAGCTTCGTCAAGGAGGAGCATTTTAGGTTTCCTTATAAGCGCCCTTGCTATTGCCACTCTTTGCTTCTGTCCACCTGATAACTGTGTACCCTTCGATCCAATGTTTGTGTCATAGCCCTGTAATTCAATTGACAAAAATATTTAGTATTTCACATATGAATAAAGACGCGTGTGTGTACATATAAGTGTGCCAGCACTCTTTGTTGGTGGAAAATACATTATTACATGCCATTGATAATAATAGGTAAATTATCGAAAGTTATATTACCACGGTAATACCATGTGAAATTGGTATCGCTTTTAGGTGTCGAGCATCGTAAAAATTTACTTTCGTTATTTTGCCCAAACGCGCCAAAAGAAGTATAAACCTCAAAAAAGAAAAGGTCTATTTCCAAAACTAATTGTTATTATAGCAAGGCCTTCGAAGATGTAAAGTTTATAATGTATCGTATAAATGATATAGAGAATAAAGAAAATTGCAATTAATAATTTCCGTGTCCTCGTACTATTCTTAGAAATCACTTTGTATGAGTATATTGAATTAAAACTGAGTCTTCGTACCTTAAGCTACCACGGCCCTAAATTTAAAATCAATAAATGACGTAGACATCATTTTCATGACTACACTCTACCAATTATTTATAATACGTCTACAAATCTTACTATCTTATCTGACGGTGGTAGAGCCACGCAGCAGCTTTAGCTGTTGCACGAATGGGCAGGCTCATCCGGGTAAGTATCACGACCTCACAGAAGATCGGCGTAAAGTGGAAGTATGACAAATACTTTAGCGTTTCGTCTGGTGAGTGAGGTAGCCGGAGCCCAATTTCCAAAAAGGTTGTCAACGCATCTGCAAACCCTCGGGTGTAGCAGATGACTATGGGCGGCGGTATTCACTTAACATCAGGTGAACCGTCTGCTCGTTTGGCAACTTTTCACATAAAAAAAAACTCTTACCATTGGTAACGAGATAATGAAATTGTGAATGTTTGCCTGCTTCGCAACTTCGACAATTTCCTCCATGCTAGGTGACCTTGAGGTATCACCGTATGCAATGTTCTCGCCGATCGTACGGTCAAACAAAATTGGCTCTTGTTGAACGAACCCTATTGTTTGCCGGGAGTCTGCCATAAGGAGTCTCGGTAGCGGAATTCCATCTTGTGTCTGTCAGAACAAACATAATAATTATGGTTTTATTTAATGTACATTATTTTTAGAATAATATGTGCATAATTCGTATTGATATAGATAAACCGAAAAGACTTGAACACTAATTCGTAATAGTAAGATATCTCCAATAAGCTCACAATAGTGATTCGTAACTTCCTAGTTTCTAGGATCTAGTTCTTCTTATATTTTACATAATCGAGTGTAATGTTAAAAACATCATTGGTAAGTGAAATAACAGGGGACCACTTTGAAAAAAATTGTCGATATCCATGGGTGTCGGTGATCATTTTACATCAGGTGAACCGCCTGCTGGTATGACAAATACATAAAAAAAAATAACTCCTTACCACCGTGCCACTGTCTGGATCGTAATACCTCTCCAGGAGTTGGATGATGGTACTCTTGCCACAACCACTGGCCCCCACCAAAGCAATCGTTTTACTGCGCGGTATTTCGAGGTTCATGTCTTTCAGCACTTGCACCATGGGGCGGGTGGGATATTTGAAATCTATGTTCCGTAGACTAGCTTCTCCACTCCCCCTCTTAAAAGGATTAAACAATAACAGTTTCGTTAATTTTTTTGTAGAAAAAATGAACATTGTTATATCCTTTCCAGCATACAAACAATTTCGAATACCGTTTTACGATAATTCGAACCGCTAGAGCGTCATAGCGAGAATCCCGAAGACGTGGGTTCGATTCTACAGCGGCTAAAAACTGTTTCGTTCCTTTTTTCTTCAAAAAATCTAATGTTTAATCTTAAGTGCAGAGATTAGCACTATAAAAAATTTAAATTAATAACAGATTCAGTTTCATTTATAATAAGAGTTTGTACAAAATGCACAGATTTTATTTAGCTCTATAAAGAATTGACATACGCATGATAATAAATATTTGTGGTTTGAGTTTGTTTAAGTAAAAATGATAATGGATTCCGAGTATAAGAGTTCATTAGGAAGGCGTTGATTCAAAATTTCGTAATATTAGGAAAGAAATAATCAATTCGGATTTGAAGCCTTATATTATTATATTGATTTCTTGATTTTACGCGAATATTATACATATTAAATTAAACTAGATGACGGATTAATTTTTATTTAATTATCGCGTTTTAATTTTGATTTTTAATTTCCGACGTTGTAAACCCTTTTTAGCGTTCATGGTCACGGGACAGACTGAAGGGTTCGAAACGTCGGGAGGTCATTTAATATAATTATGTATGTTCTCTACTGATTTGAAACTTACGAAGTTCTCAATCGAAGGTTCTTCTGGATCGACTATCTTAGATTTCTTATTGAGGATAACAATAATGCGGGCAGCTGCTTTGATGCCCTTTTGGAAATTTGGCGCGAAGGCGAATGCTTCGCCCGCCGAACTTGCCCCCATAAGCAGGGTTTCAGCAGACCTAAAAAGTATTTTTCATTTTATATTGATTAAATGTAATATTAACTAAATAGTTTACTGGTTTGTAGGCGAGACTTCGACTAATCGTCTGTTTAAAAAAAAATCTGTGGCTGCAAGAATAAATTTTCTAAAATCACTATTGCACATTTGTAAATCGATCTTCCGCGACAGCCTCATCAGGTTATCTGCTTATCTCTTTTTTCTTCAAGTTAGCGTTAAAGATGTCAGAGCTTAATGTATAAACTTTGACAATTACAGGAAGGAAATAGTTAATGCAGTCCAGCCTTTACTTGTATACAAGTAATTGCAATATATTGCGAAATAATATATTTCAAATCCGTATTTTTTTACTGTGTTTAGGATTGAATTTTTGAAAATTCTAAGCAAACGTAATGAACACTTTCCCAAACGAAGACTGTTTACTAAACTAAGATTAAATTAAAATTCAGGCACACCGAGCGTTTGAAATCGAAGCGTTTTTATGTAAGAGAATATTAATACTTTTGTATGAAAAAATATGGATAGAGTTTTCTTACTTGATTATGAGGGAGTAGTCAACGTGCTTGTAGACCATCAGTGACCCGCCGTAATACAGTGAAACGGCGTAGGCGAAGTTGAAGATGCTCCTCGAAAGGCCGAAGACCACGCCGCGCATATGAGACGTCCTCTTTGCGTACATCAACGCGGGCCTGAGAAGCATAGCGTACTCCCTGACAAAATTCTCCTCTCTGCCTAGCGAGGCAACAGTGCGCACATTGGCAACTGCCTCGACTGCTAGCTGCAAAGACAGAAGAGTACCCACTTGAATTAAGTAAATGCAATCACCCAGTGGCCATTTCGGATAGTTTTACTAGTAAGGCTGAGGTATTAAAAATAGATAGAAGATTTATATAAAGCGATGCGGTAACAATATGCTCTACTTTAAGTTAGTTTATTCCAGCAATTAGGCCCAAAAACCTACTGCTGAAACCTGTAAACCGTGTCGCAAGTTAGGTGGTTAATATAGTGAAGTACCTGAAAATATCTAACTAATTTTGTTAATTTTTGTAGATGGCTATAGAGGATAGGAGTAAAACGCTTGTGCTTTTCAAAATATTCTAGAAACAATTTAACTAGTTCGAACATTCTTCTTCTCTGTTTTCTTTTAACGTGGGCTATAAATGTCTGTTTTTATATTGAATAAGTTTTTTTTTTATATTATGCTTTGATGGTAAGTAGCGATGTAGCCGTAGAAGATAAATACATGAGCGCAGTAAAAGCCTATAAGACCAGACCTAAGCTAAAGCCTTGAAGACACCCACGTTATATTCGGACGAAAAGATATACGCCGGGAAATTGTTCCATTTATTTGCTATACGCATAATGAATGGCATAGCATAACGCTTAGTCCGCCTGCGTAAGAAAAGGATAGAACCTTTGCTAGGAATATGTGTAAAAAACCGTTGGACTTTTGGTACTTAAAAATATTCTCACCTTCGAACTAGTTTCCATTGACTTCGTCGTTCCGAAGGCGGCGGCGTTAGTGAGTTTGTTTTCGTAATAGAGGACGAATGCCATTAGTGGTACACAGCACAATGAGATCAAGCCCACCTGCCATTGGAAGTATAAGGCAAGCACGATGGAGAACATGACAGTTCCTATTGCTTGCAGGACAGTTCCTATCCTTTGACCTGTTGCCTGTAAGGAGGAAAGGCATTCTAACTTAGAACGTTTTCGTTGTAACTACTTTTTTCAATAATTTCCTTTATTTACGCGATTACACATTACTAAATGAAACTATAACTTAAAGGATTTAACGCGTTTAGTTTTACTTTTAATTCCCGACGCTTCGAATCCGTTTACGGGACAGACTGAGGCGTTGGACGTCTGAATGTCATAGTTAACCTGGTCTACCGTCAGTTTTTAAATTATTAATTTTGTGTTCGATCTACGCAGAGACAAGATAAAACTTGTTCATTCTCTAGCAGTAGTCTAAATTCCTTAACGCGGCTTGCCGGCTGTGTCAGTTTGTAGAATCGTCACGTAACGAAAATTATGCCCAACTCATTTCCAATCTAAAACGAATATCTCTCTTTCTCTTTCTCTCTTCTTCTGTGTGTCTCTATAACACCCGCTATATGAATGAGAAGGTTAATTTTAGTCAGTGTATTTTTGTCCTTAACGTAGCTTGTGAGCTGTTAGAAAACACTACATATTTATTCCTAAAATATTATTTATGATGACTTTTTTCTAAAATATTAAATGAGACTTTTGAATTGTTGTTCGAATTTAATTGCTAAACAAATTAATTTAAAAATGTACAACAAATTAATGATACTTAAAACAACTGTGCCAGTTTTACTTCAGAGGAAAGTAGACAAAGAAATGATGTAGGTAAATCAAGATGACGATGCCATCGAGTAATGCATCAATATAGCCTTAATTTTTATATCCTAACTATAACGCGTAATGTAGTCCCCTTCGGATTAGTCCACATTTTTGCCATGTAAGGTTGTTTGTGGATTGTGATTAGGTAACTTCGATTCAAGTCGCGCGATTATCGTTGTCTTTGTCCCGATCGCAGCGACGCTAGAGGCGTGGTGTGTTAAGAGGCTCAGGTTCAGACCCACAGTTAGAAGACTTAGGCCCGGTTTTTGAAACACTGATCATCGTAGAAATTAATTAAAGTCTTTGAGTTGATCATTCTGATTATTAAACAGATCATTCTGATCAACTCAGACAGTTTAACCATCCTTATGGCAACTCAAATGACATTTGAAAAGCCATTTCACAGCTGATTAGTTAATTTCTACGATGATCAGTGTTTCAGAAACCGGGCGTTAGGTATAAGACCATGACACGTACACAATGTACAAAACATTCCCAAATACAATATACAAAATGAACACACCCCTTGGACGGCGGCCGCCTCACCGGACAATCTGGTGCAAAGAGCCCCTGTCGAGTTCGCTTTATCATCGAAATACGCAATCTCTTGCTGGAGAAGATTCTTGAACATCAACAACCGAAGCCTCATTGTCAAGCACTCGCCGGCAACGCCGTAAAAGTAGACCTTGGGAAAGATAAAATAATTTGAACCATTTCGATGTTTAAATAGATTTCTCAAAGAACGAGAGTTCTACAATGTTGTTGATATTTCGCTTAACATTTAAAGCATAATTTGGTTCAACGGCTCAGTTCGGTCCTGGGTTCGATTCTCAATTCGTATCAAATATGTTTTTTTAGCGAGAGCCGTGATAGTTTATTGTCCGGGCGCTCGCTTTAATTCATTATACTCGAGCAACCTGAGTTCGATCCCCAATGGAGGCACCATTGAAATTTTTAATTTAAGTGCTGATTTATCACGTGCTCAGCGGTGAAGGAATACATCGTGAAAAGACCTGCATATTTTAGAAATAATAAAAAAAATAATATTTCGAAGGTAATGAATTCCCCCATCTGCAGTGGGGTCGTGTGGTGGACTATGCCCTAATACCCTCTGTATAGAGGAGGTCTTTGCCCAGCAGTGGGACTTTTAAAGGCTGTTACTCTACTTTACTTTTTTTATCTATTTTTCATTAACTACTATAACTTTCTAATTAACTGGCGATAGATAAATATCATTCTCTTTGAATAGATCTCTTTCATTCTAGTTCACTGTGGTAGGGCCGTGCAGCAGATTTTGATGCCATGTTGTAAAAATAGTTATTATTTTAATGTTTCTCTAGTGTAGTGTAAAATTCAATAAATTAATTAACCTTTTTCTGAGTGGTTCTCCTTTTCATTACGTTGTTATTTAAAGCATGATAAAAATGATAATACATTCCAAAATTACTTAAATCACGGGAAAGACTGAATACCTTTTAATATAATTATATAATATATATCATAGTTATCATTAGTTAGTGCTGGAATACAAAATTAAGAAACTCTGAATGAACTAAATTAGTTTAACATATTTTCAATATATACTTACCTACATTGTTCATTTCAATCAATTCTAAGACAAGTAATTTAATTATATCAACAAATCAATTATGGATAATTGAAAAGTAATTAAATAATATTCCGTTTAGATACATTCAATTGCTTTGTACATTATAATTGAATGATGCTATCGTGAATAGCTGTTTATGCGTTTGAACATTTTAGACCATGCCTTAAATCTCACAATCACGTTACATACCCGTTCGTAAAAAAGTTACGTAATGAATACGATTGGAAATAAGACCTAATTGTTTTTCTTTTACATTTCTCTGTCAAAAGATACAAAATTAATAAATGCCTGAGACACTTAAGGCATCTATTTGTAAATTTCTTGTCAAACTTATTTTGGTGTAGTGCGACTATTATTTAACTCCCTTTACTATAATTTATAATTAATTAAATGTGCCGCTTTTCAAATGATTTAAAATTAAATTAAAACTATTTATGTAGAGCTTATAGCTCTATGAACATGAATCTATGGTATACGCATCTTGAAAGATGCATTATTCACTATGCACGATTTAATTTATGAAAAACATTATAAAATTTGTGGTAGCTACCGGACACAGAAAAGCTGTGAAATTTGAGCAACAGCTCAGATCTTGATCTTGATCAACAGCTGATTGCTAAGCTGGGCGGTTGATCTAACTGTGGTAGGACCACGCAACAGTCTTCGCTGTTGCATTCGGGCAGGTCCGACCGGGTTAGTTCAACGACCTCGGCGTGAAGTGGAAGTATTATTCTTGTGCTTTTCGCCTGGTGAGTGAGGTAGCCAGGGTCCGAAGCCCACTTTATTAAGAGGTGGCAACGCATCTGCAACACTACGGTTGTTGCAAATGTCCATGGGCGGCGGTTATCACTTAACGTAAGCTGAACTTCCAGCTCGTTTGCCACCTTCTCACCTGAAAAAAAAATCTTGAGTATAATCGCTTTAGTATAAAGTGTGAATACATACCACTATAAAATGTACAACTCCAGATATGACCCCAATGACCACGAATATCAAAGCATATTTTTCTACTTCTAACAAAACTGCGGCGGTGTCCGTGTTCGATAATACCTGGAAATTAATTGGGTAAGTAATCATATACCTGGTGTTAGTAATCATAAAATGTAGCATATTACATTTTAAATACTAATCCTCCCTCAATACAAGAGCGTCTTCTTTATACGAGTAGAGGTTATTAGGCCATATGGTCTTTTTAATAGCTTAGCTTTAATTAATCAATAACATAGCTGACTAAATTAATAAATATTTATTTAAGTACTTTCATTTTGTTTATAGATAAATTGTTTCCGCACTAAATGCGAGACACGGGAAACTATTTTTAACCGTCATTTCATATAAATTAAATTAATAAAGTCTAATTGACTATTCGCTATGGCAGCGTGATAAACATACTAATCACTTTTAAATATATCGCAGAGTTTTTTTACAAATTTCGCATCAAATGCGAGGCTATGTACAATTTAATTTTAAGGATCGACTGACTATTAAATGAAACTAGTTTACGGATTTTATCGCGTTTTTAGTTTGTTTTTGGAATTCAAAGTAATTGTCGTTACCCCCATGAAATCTCCCAGTATGACTGCGAACAGGGGCATGGCGAAGCCGCTCAGGAGCGAACAGATGCTGGCGGCGGTGGCAGATCTCCATTCGGGTGCGTTGAGTCGCACCACGCGCCAAAACGACACCTCCTCCTGCACCGCTTCTTTCTTCTCCTCCTTCGGTTGCAATAACCGAATCACGTTATGAATACGCAAACGTTTAAATATGGTCAATATTATATTAACATTAGAAAAGGATAATTGTATAAAATCGGGTGATGTGAATGTAACTGTGGTAGGGCCACGCAACGCTGTTGCACGAATGGGCAGGTCCGTCCGGGCTCTCACTCTGCGTCGATCGTCCAGTACCACGATCTCACTTCTGCGTTTCGTCTGGTGAGTGAGGTAGCCGGGGCCTACTTTGTTAAACGGTGGCAACGCATCTGCAACACTACGGGTGTTGCATATGTCCATGGGCGATGGTTACTGTCACATAAAAAAAAGAACTAAAGAACTGTGATCGTAGAATACGTTACGTCTTATACTATCTAAGGAACTATCTATGGTTTTTAGCTTACAAATCTGAATCTGCACGCAAGAAAATGATAAATTTGAAATTTCCAAAATTTATTGCCCAGAATCAAGTATGGAACATTTAAGAAAAAAAAAAGAAAATAGAAGCCGTGGCACGATATTTAGTGAAAAAAATATTCCAATAGGATTCCATGGTGTAAAACTAATCTCAGCGATTAACTGTTAAATTATATTTTCAGTTGGAAAACTTACTTCCATCTTTACATCAACACATTCGTCTTCGTCGATTTCTTTCATGACAGAAACTGGCCGAGCGATGACATTAGAAGTTTCTAGAAAAAGGACGAAAATACCATTAATAAATTAAATAATAAATTAATTATTGTAAGGCCATATCAGATTAGATTTTTTAAAGAACAAGATCACAATAAATATCTTGGTTTGTTAAAAGTTTAAAGACCTTGTATAATCACGATATAGGTAATAAAATAATGTATATCCTTGTATAAAAACGAAATAGGTTCAATTTATTGACATGCACATTCGCATTTTACATGAATTAAATTAAGTGACTAATGATAGTCCATGAGGACGAAATGGTATCATGGACGCGTTAACGTGTACGAAAAGACGATAGTGAAAATGGAAATAAAATAAAATAAAATCCGTAAATTACTTTCCTATAATATTCCTTTAAATAAAATAAATCATTAAAATTAAGTGTTGTCTAATTAATGACCTGCTATTTCATCTAGCTCTGGCGAAGACTGCACCATCACCATGTCGTAATAGTGGCCCTTTTTGTTCATCAACTCTTCGTGGCCCCCGCTTTCAACGATTTCCCCGCTTTTGAAAACGTATATAACATCTACATTCCTTATGGTCGAAAGCCTGTGTGCCACAACTACAGTCGTCCTTCCCTTTTGAGCCTGCAATGTGATGGTTAACAAGCAAAAGTTATTGAATGAAATGCCGGACTGTATTAATAATAATATATTTTTTCACGCTATGTGTAGTGGATTGTATGTAAGTCTGGAACATTAGAACAAGGTACTTTTATAGTGAAAAACATTTTTTTTTAGTGTGAGGAGGGGTTAATCGAGCTGGCGGTCCACTTGAGGTCGTGGTACGTTCCCGGACGGGAATAAATGTAAAACTAAATAACCAAGATTTGAATAATCATCCATAAACATCATTGAATAATCAGTCATCAAGCCTCCGCGCTGAACATTGGAAATTTTGAGTTTTCTTGCTAACCTTTTGCTAGGCTATTACTTTTTTGACTAACGTTTGGAAGTACACGCGATAGACATTAATTTCCTCGTGATCCAACTTAATAAATTTTTTATATCAATTAAAAAACCTACAGTTTTTACCGCTATCCAATAAACACTAAAAACAACCGAGTAGTCGTATTATAAGGTAATGTTATGTTCGTTTTATGAGGTTACGTTTTTCATACTGAATAGTACCTTGTCAAGAGCTTGCTGCACCCTGGCTTCCGAAGACACGTCCAGGGCACTAGTGGCTTCATCCAGGAGCAAAATGTCTGGGTTTCTGATTAGTGCACGAGCGATAGCGAGCCGTTGCTTCTGCCCTCCGGACAATGAAGCACCGCGCTCGCCAACTAACGTGTCGTAGCCCTATAACGAATGTAGGTACCAGGAATGTAAACTAAACGGGTTGTTCATAGTTTGCTATTGTTAACAGTCGTTTTCATTTATATAGAGATTATTTATAGATGTTATTAGTAATGCCGTAATTCAGCAAATATATTTCAGAATTACTGTCTATACTCTCAGTAAGTATTTGTTAAATTCTGTCGGCTATGTAAAAATAAGTTAATAATACAAAATAAATAAGTTTTGTAAAAATTATGATAAATCAAAATTAAAATAACGATGTCTTATGAAGATAAAGACGTTTGGCGTTTTTTATAATTTAATGTTTTTTGACTAGTTTTTATGCACGTAATTAATAATGCATAATTAAATATATAAATAATCGTAATAAAAATATGTTATGCATTCTTCAGGCAAGAACCGTTCAGTTATCTTGACTTACAATCGGGACAAACACCCAAGACATAAACTGAATTAGGTTACATATTATCAATACGTTTTAGTTTTTAGGTGTATATGAAGTTTTAGCGGACGGATATAGTGATAATATAATAGATATCATCATAAATAAATGTGAACTTTTGATACCTAAATGAGCCGATTTATGCAGTAAGTACTTTGGCCTAAACCGGCATAAAAGACTTTTGCTGTACGTCATGAAATAGAAACCGCGGCCTAATTTCTTATGGTATGCTCTTGACATCAGATGAACCTCCCACTCCTTTGCCACCTTCGCCCGTAAAAAAAGAAACAGAACAGCAGTGAGCTTACGGAAGGCAGTTTCGAGATGAAGGTGTGCGCGTTAGCCTGCCCTGCAGCCGTCTCAATGTCCGCGTCGGTGGCTGCGGGGCGCCCGTAACGGATGTTCTCGCGGACCGTGGTGTTGAACAGCACCGGCTCCTGCCCCACCAGGCCGATCTGCTGACGCAGCCAGCGCACGGACAGGTTCCTCACGTCGTGACCGCCCACGGACACCTGAATACGAAGACGCTGTGAAGGACTTCGAAAAGGAATGACGTCCTATATTCGAAACCGATTACGAAGATGTTACGAAGGACTTCGAAAGGAGGTCCTATATATATTCGAAACCAATCTTTTTAAGTTTCACACATGGCGTGACTCTGCACGACGGGATACGAAAACTTGGAGTTAGGAAGTGCAAATTGGATGAGAACATTTATAAAATGATGCTTTGGTGCCTTGAACAAATGTAAAGAACTAATGAGAAAGACTGATGAAAGTAATTTGTAATGCAACAATAAGTGGAAAATTCGTAATAGAAGAAAGTCTAGTATCAGATTGGTACATGTAGTAATGCCAGGCTAGAAAAGTATGTAAGGAGCGTGGAAAGTGGAAAATAATTATTATCTTTTCCCCGTTATTAATAGGCTTGTGTATATTGGTACATTCCGTAAAGACAAAAAGCAGGAGAGATTATAATGTCTACGTAATTAGCGAAGCGATGTAATCAAATATTAGATAAGTAATCAAATAAATAAGCAAATAAATAAAATTTCTTAGACCTAACAAAATATGCAATGCCAATAAAGAGATGTTTGCCAAAGATGTGTTTACTACTCACACTGCCGCTTAAAACGTCGTAGTAGCGGGATATCAGTTGGATGACCGTGGACTTGCCACTGCCGGAGTGTCCAACCAACGCGACGGATTGTCCTTTCTTAACAGTTAAACTGACGCCCCTCAGCACCTTAGTGATAAAAGCCATGAATACATATGTTAAAAATAAATAGCACACTTAATAATATTAAATAACAATAATGAATGACATAATTAGCTAAGTTTAAGTTTACCGATTGAACAAATCAATCTAGCACCAGGCAATCTGTGGAAGAAAATCTAACGCGTTACAATGATGATGAAAATTATATGTACATCACTATTCCTGAAGATTGATAAGGAGTTTAAATCTTACTGGTACGTCAGGTCTCGACGGGTAGCGGAAAACAACGTTCTTCAGTTCAATGCTCCCGTCGATGGAGGCGGGTGTGAAGCCCCGATTGAGCAACGGATTGATGTGAGGCACGTTGTTGAACAAGGCGAAAATCTGTACACCTGCCCCACGGGCCATGCCAAAAACTTCCATCAGCGTTGAGGACATCCCGAACTCACCGGTGCCCATCATTACTCCGAAAAACACCTAATCATTGAAATTGCGTATGTGATGGCAATTCTTTATAATGGATGTCAAACATGCTGGCTTTTAAATTTTTTTTTAAATAAAACGTAAGAAAAACAACTGAATAAGGAAATCTAAAACAAATTTACTGAAAAAATAAAAGAACGTCCTGAAATAATTGCAAGTGCCTAAATTTGCATCGTCGCCAATGTGTCAATAATGTGTTAGAAACACATTAAATAGAAGTAACACGAAACACAAAATGTAACATAAAACCTCGAGGGACGAACAATCACATTTTATGTTCTTAGGGCCACTTAATAGCTACTGCTGTTGGATGAACGGGCAGGTTCTACCGGGGAAGCAACACGGCCTCACAGAAAACCGGCGTGAAGTGGAAGTTCTAATACTTTCGCGTTTATTCGTCTTGTGATTGAGGTAATCGGGACTTTTTAAAGGTTGTCATTGCATCTGCTGGGTGCTGTAGATGTCCATGGGTAACGGTATCCACTAAATCAATCAGATGGACCGCCTGTTCGGTTGAAAACTTTTCAAATGAAAGAATAATATTCGCTCTCCGCACGACATCATCCCCTGCTATATTATATTAAAGGGTAAAATATTATTTTCTAATTTAACTGGTATTAATGGATAAACTGGATGTAACCTGAAAGCATCCAAATCGAACAAGTCTGTCAAAAGTTTCGTGAATACATAAAAAAGATTCATTGACAATTTCTTTAACACAATCAAAAATATCTTTATTCAAATAGACGCTTTTGCGTTCTTATGAATCGTCAAATTTTTCATAAAATATTATATGTAGGTTCGTAAGGTACCTTTTTTTTAAATTACGAGTTCTTTAAGAATAATGTTAATAATTATTGCATTCTTTTTATGAAATTCATCTCATGTGTATATTTTAAGGAAAATCAAAAATGGTCAAATACTGGACGTAGGATATAAATAAGTGGTAGGTGTGGACATATAAATAGGTACATACCGCGAGCATGGTGTTAACATCATACGTCTCCGGCTCCTCGATCATTAGTTTGTAACCGAACCAAAAGGACAACGCGTAGGAGCCGAAAATGCAAAAGTATAAAACTCCCATAGACATGCCGTTGTATAAAGCTGTGAACAGAATAAAAATCGCGATATACTTTATGGATTAATAATGATACGAGTATATCGCAAAAAAAATTGCTAGTCCATAAAAATTCTAGCTCTGATATTGATGAAGGTTTCCAATGCTCTACACCTGATAATATAACCATTTTTTTACGAACGAAAACAACCGACTTCAAATATCTCTGTATTCATTTTTAAAATGATTTTCAGGAGTTCCCTAAGTATCTCCGGAGCCCATGATATAGGAAGCACCAGCTTTGAAAAAAAAAAAAGAATCATCAAAATTGATTCACTCAGTCAAAAGTTCTGAGGTAATAAACATAAAAAAATACAGCCGAAGTCGGTTAAAAACAACCGTGATGGTAAATGACGATGCAGATAGTAAATGCAACGGCCCAGTAAAAGCCTATTTACTCTCGCATTGAACACGGTTTTTAATCAGAAAAATCTAATACAAATAAGTAACCGTTTCACGGGAATTATTTGTTCATCTAAAAACTAGAAGTTTTTTTAGTTCATTGAATAACAAAGTAAATTTTTTCAAAGTACTTATATGAACAAACGCCAAACTGTTTGTTCAAAAACAATTCCATTTTTGTTTTTCAATATAAATAATTATTATCTTTATATTTATATAATTCTTTTGCACCTGTGTATGTCACTGAACTTCTAAACGCCTGGACCGATCTTAATGAAATTTTGTGTGTCTTCAGTCTTCGATTCGAGAATGGTTTAGATTCACAAGTCGGTCCACATTTTTTTTATTTTTTTTTATTTATAAGTTGTTTTCGGATTTCAGTTTCGATTTTCGTTTCTAGTATGTTATCAAAATTTATAATAAAGTAAATACTAAGTGGGTACATACACTAAGGCAGTAAACGATTCCAATTTGTTTGATCGGACAGGATTTTGCGCGTTCACTTACTTTACTCTTATAAAATACCTGCATTACACTGTTATGGACGTCCATGAACAGAGTTTATTGTTAGCTGTTAGCTGATTCACGATACCTTGCACATTTGCAACCCTCCCATAAAAATATATTCAAAATCTCTCACCCTTTTTAATATTCGCATCCCTTGCCTTCTTAAGGGGTTTCTCATATCTTTCTATTTCCTTTTGCTGCCCGTTAAAAGCGTAAACAGTTCTTACGGCGGTAAGCACTTCTTCTGCAATTGAACCAGCTTTTCCCGACTCCTCGGCTTCTTTCTTCGATAACCGTGAAGATACCTATGACGCCATTTAAGTAATGTTATTAAATAAATTATGGTGTGAAAGTTAAGTAAAATACAACTAATATTCATTTAAATCCAATCTTTTCATTGTATTTTTACCATTTTAGTAAGATTTTCTGAAATCTTTTACGAAGATGGATAGGAGAAAGCTGATTTGCTAAGAAATATATTGCCAATTAGATGAATGGCATTCATCTCTTTTATGAATAAAAAAGATGATGAATTCGCATATGAAAAATTGTGTCACCATTTCAAAAGTACTTACTTTATTTCAAACGGCCGTAGGTTACAAATAATGTTTGTACACATTTTATAAGGTAACTTATTAAGTACAATATTGACTTCAAAACTGAATTCCATTAGTGTTGCAACCTTTGCTAGTAAGTTAATAAAGAGGCGCGAGGAAGGTAGCCTTAAAATCTAACATTGTCATGATTAGAAATTTCATAGACACCTATGCCAACCTCATGTGACAAGATGAGGCCAAATCATCTAACTGAATTCAGCAGTTTTCTTTTTATTTTATACTATTAAATAAAAACAAACTATGCTGAATAGAATCTGATACAATAGTGGAGTAGAAGTAAAAAAAAACTACACACCAAACCGGCCAACGCAAGCGGAACCATAGTGATAGGAAATGAGATCAAACAAAGCAGTGTCAGCTTCCATCCCTTTATGAATGCCATGAGTATGCAGCTGACAAATGACGCCTGGAAGAACACGAAGTTTGCCAACTTCTCACCAATGCCGTCTTCGACTTTCATAATGTCGCTGCAAAAGAATAAACATTGATTATTTTTTCTACTATAAAGACAAGTCGGTATTAGCTACTACTAACTAGTACTATTAGCATGCATGGCAATACTTAGCATTAGTAGCGTTAAAAATGTCATGCCATTTTGTCGGTCATTTATTCCTTCATTCTTTTGTTTTAACATCAACCTTTTTTTATTTTAACTAAAAAAGTGCAAACCAAAACAACTTACTCTGTCATTTTAGCCGCAAAGTCACCAGTTCGATGTGTATCGAAATATTCAAAATCTTGATTTAGGGCCGTCCTCAAATACTCTTGTCTTATTCTGTAAACCTTCAATCAAATATTTTTATTTAAAACAAGGCCCTTTAGCAACAAGCTTTATTTCATTATCTGATAAAATAAAATTTGTGTCTTTTTAAAGACAGACTCCCGGTTTCTGAAACACAGATCATCGTGCAGCTAACGAATCAGCTGTCAAATGGCTTTTCAGATATCATTTCGGTTGCCAAAGGGATGGTTAAACTCTCTGAATTGATAAGAATGAATCGAATGATGAATTCAAAGAGTTTAACCATTCTTTTGCCAACTCAAATGAAATTTGACAAACCATTTGACAGCTGATTAGTTAACATCTACGATGATCAGTGTTTCCGAAACCGGGTAAGAGAGTTGAAACTCAAGACAAGGAACGAATTTTTCGTCTAAAAGCATTTAATAGGTGAATTAAAACGAACATGCAAATAGACATTTAAAAGTCTTAAGTTAGAAACTATTTTTCTTCATAAAATATTATAGTTTTACATGTTACACCATAGTAATTGATTATTGCGGTATTACGAAGGTGTACTCGTGGTTTCGTTAATGGGATGTAATGCCTCGCAGGATGTAAAAAGACGTGCCGGCATCTATAATTTTCTACAAGGACTATGTCAACATCTAATTTTACATAGTTAACGAAATGCAATAAAATATATTTAACGTCGTAATTGTGTTAATATTTTAAATATTATCATTATTAATTAACATTTTATGTGTGTTCGCGGAATACTTCGTCGTTTATGGACCGATTGCGATGATTCTTTTTGTTGGCGAGGAGATATCCCAAGGGTGGTACCATGATAAGGAAACCCGGATCTGATCATGAAATCCCAGAGAAATCGATTGTTTGATTTTAATAAAAATGGCGTAATGCGTATTTATTTTCAATGCAAGCCTTATACAATAGTATGAATAATAATTTAATGTTATAGACAATGATGTTACATGTCATTGATAAGTTCTTTGACACCATATATTTTTACTTTTTAATTTATGACAACAATAATTACCTGATTGAAGGCGGCAACGTTCATAAGCACTGTCGCCGCATAAGATACAAAGAAGATAATCAATCCAAGGAGGCAATTGTATAATGCGAAATCACTCAATGACTGCAAGAAGGCGTCTTTCTCCGCAGCGCCAGCTACAACTGACTGGCCATAATCCACCATCGCTTGCAACAGAGCAGAGAAGAGAAGCACTCCAAGCGGCATTGTACAACCGCATATTATTGATAAGAAAACGGCAAAGAAGATGTATATTCTATCCAGCGTAGTGCTAAATTTAAACTAAAACAAAAAAGAAGATAAACCATGCATGAATCTGATCGTAAAAAAGCAATCTGCAGCTAGAGATTATCAACAATGAACAATTAGACTTATATTCATATCAAGTTGAACAGTCCTGACTTAAATATTATGAATCTAAGGTTTATCACATTTTCCACATGAATATTTAGTCACCGATATGATATATAACAAATGTTCCTAAGCTATAGGTACTGCGGGTCAAGATTTACTTATAAATAGCGGACCCGACAGACGTTGTCCGGTACACAAACTAAATCCGATAACAAATAAAAAATAAATGAAAGTAAAACATTGTAGTGGACCGAATAATATATATATATTTATATATATATATATATATATATATATATATATATATATATATATAGCTTTTGTTCTCCGTTTTTGGAATCCTCTGAGAAGATACGTACACACGTCGATTCTTATAAACGTTGATTGATACAGTGTAAATACTTACCAAAGTGAAAAATGAGACATTTGGTGAAACTTTATCCTTCTTGTCGTCTTGTGGGACACTGTAAAGTATAACAGTACATATAATTAACTCCCGAATATAGTCATGACGACAATCTTTCTATCGTACGATATGTATCTTGGCATCACAAGCTTCAAATTCAGTCAATGGAAACAAACCAACGGAAGCAGCACCTTGATTTGTTTAGTAACTTAAGTATGAAATTTGAACATCATCTAATTTCTTATCGGTATAGCAATATAAAACCACTTGGGTTGTGTTAACACCCCGAAAATGACAATAACAAATTGCAACTAAAAACCCATGACGTCATATCATTAGATATCGAGGTCATAACATTACATATATCATATATTTGATACATTTATTCCCTTTTCATTACTGTGACAAAGGCTCACATCAACTGTTGGTGTGGGACAATGTCTTGAAATTATAATTTTGCGTTTCATCCATCGTTCGTGTAACGGCCCACTACTTGCGTTGATTTGCAATATGCCTGCAATATCTCAGACTTCTGCAGCCGCGTGCTTACCATTCCATTAACCAGTTATTTAGATGCAATCTCTACGAATCTAAACAACCTAATAAAGTTTCGCAATACATCTACAATGCGTTGGTGTAGCGGGTGCCCATGGCAGACAGTTACCATTGACCACCAGAAACACGTGGTTTTCAAATATATAATTTTAATAAAAACTTTAATTCTCATATATATAATTTTTCACATTGCCACAAGATGCTAGCTGGCATAAGATCTTCAAATGGAAGGCTTGTAGATTTTCCACTCTTGTCTTGTCGACAAACACCTATCTGAAGTTTGTATCAAACGGAAAATAGGTGCAAAATGCGGTTGACACGATGTTAAGTGATTACCGCCGCCCACGGATATCTACGACACCTGAGGTGTTTGAAAAAGTGGGCATCAGTTACCTCACTCACTAAATGGAACGCGAAAGTATAATTCCTATACTTTCACTTCACACCAGTCTTCTGCGAGGCTCTGGTACTTCCTGAACAAGTTTGCCTATCCGGAAAACAGCAGAAACTGCTGTGTGCCTACCGCATATTTACCTAATTACAGTATTTTTCAAGAAATCTTGACTAAATTTTAACCTTAACTTAAACATAGTCTTCATTTGCACAGTGATTCTTACAGATTATCTCTTGCAATCATTTCAAAAAACAGCACCGAACTATAAAAGTACCAAAACATTTTATTCGGAACGTCTGTAAAAGTTAAAAAACTTTTTTTGGAGATTTAATCCTTTTCTACAGATTTTCACATTGAATAAAATATAATTATTCACTTAATACAAAGTAATAATTATTGCATTAATACACAATTGCACTCACCCATTAATTTCTTTAATTGCATCATTATTCGTAAATTCGATTTTAGAGAGGTCGGTCACAATAATCTTGTTGTTCAGGCCGTCGCGTGTATTCATTGTAACAAAATTGCGTATACCTTTTTGAATTTCCTATGCCACGCTCATATCACATTTGCACCTCTTAACGTATGAAACTGGCTTCATTTCGATTAATAATAAACACTTTTATCAATTTGTTGGATGTTGTTTTAATCGCTAGTTAAATAGAAGCACGTAAAACGTAAATACTAAGGGTAACATATGAATGGTTCCGTGGGATATTACTATTTTTCTTTTATTTAATGTAATTTCAGATAAGTAGTACAAAGCTTATGTTTACAGCGTGTGGTAAAATTCTTACGGCTGTAAAATTTTGGTGGTTTATATATTGACTTAAGACGTAAGTAGTATCTCTTTAAATCCACCCCTGTTTTATATGTAAGGATGTTCTAAAATTTTTTGTTTTGGCAAATTTGATAACTCGGTAAATATTGATGTTTAAAGAATCTAAATATTTAATACAATTTTAAAAAGTTACCCTCTATATGTGTGTTCGTTTATTGTCGCGATGGTAAAGACACGCTGTATATTAGACATTTCATACATTGAGATCAATCTATGAGATGTATACATACATATATCGTCATTTTATATAGTTTTTTTGAAGCTGGCTTCGCTATGTTTGCCGTTTGATAGTAAGTCTAAAACTCGTATTTTCGAGGTCGACAGTGGGATATACGTAAAAAACATTTTAGTACTTTCAGTCTATGTCACTCACTTTGCTCTTCTGATGGATGTGACAGAAATACGCTTTAGATCCTGATGATCCCCCCTGATTGTAATAATTCTCTTTCCACAACCGAGGTTTCCAGGCGGTGGGCGGGCTTTACTGTAAGTTTTCAGCTCTCTAAAACGGAATCACAACAAGATACGACTATCTTGCGAATGTACCAAACGAACAAACAATGGTTGTTCAAGCAAATATTTTGTAGAATTTTTTTTTATTTGTTGGGGAAGAAAGGTTCTTGAGTGGCAGACTCGTCCTGGCCATTGCAGTGTAGGATAACCTCCCACTAGATGGAGTGATGACCTGTGTAAATATGCGGGAAGTCATAACAAGTATTTTGAAGTTAAAAATTTGTGTCCTAGCCTAGGCGAATGACTAATATCGAAATTTGAAAAATAAGCGGTCAAAACAGACACTTGATTGCGTTGTCCTGAAGATAATGGGTTAGGATGTACTATCATTTACACAAAAGAGATTGTTTCATTTTCAGTCAACAAAGATTGTATTATTAGCACGAGATATAAAATGTAGTGCCTGTGTTATAAAATATGCTTGTATACAAAACTCAGTTAATTTTAATAAATTTAAATGTTACAACGCATCTGCAATCCTACGGGTGACGCAAATGTCCATGGATCACTGCACATCAGGTGAAACGCCATCTCACTTGCCACCTTCTCAAGTAGGTCTTCTCTTGTCTCAGATAGGAATGAAGCTTTAATGTTGGCTTTGTGATAGCAGTCATACTGATCCCGGCTTCTCCGATGATGCTCGGATATTGCCGATGTTGGTTTAACAAAAACTTGGTAATATATTTTTATTTTATTGAATATTACGTAATACAAAACGGTAAACCTTATATACCTATGTACGTTTAGTAATAAATAAAAAATTTAAACATTACTTGTTGATAGCAGTAACAATAAAAATATTTAATGATCGTTTCTTAAATGTTTTGTAACAATACGCGTAAATACAAAAAATCATCATTCCAACTATTGTTTGCTTATGTACTGGGATGTTTCTAAATAAAAACACAGACATTACAGTGCCATTTATTTATTAGGGTAGGAGTCAAATGACAAGACTATCGCCGATGGATATTAGAAAGACTAAATTGGTTGAACAAAGTTGGACCTCCGATACAAAGTAAAGTGAAACAAAAGTTCATGGAATTAAATGTTAATATTCAGAACACTAGGCATTGCTTGTTCTTCTATAATTTATTTACATTATTTTTTCACGAAGCCAACATTGCACAACAACTGAACATAGTTTTATCTCAGACGAATGAATTTTATTGTAATATCATCAGGAACATTATTTTTAGGGTTCCGTTCGCTGTCTGTCTGTCTGTCTGTATGTATATCTATATATCCGTCTGTCACCAGGCATATCTCATGAACCGTGATGGTTAGATAATTAAAATTTTCACAGATGATGTAGGTATTTCCTTTGCCGCTATAACAACAAATACTAAAAAATAGAATTAAAAAAAATATATAGGTGAGGCTCCGACACGATTTTTTTACCGTTTTTATAGATAATGCTAACTAATGCATAGATAATGCTGAACCCTTCACGCGCGAGTCCAATTCACACTTGGCCGGTTTTTTTATATATAAATTCAAATATTCATAGAGCCGTGATAGCTCAGTTTCCGGGCGCTCGCCTTTAATTCAATATACTCGAGCAAAAAAATATATTTTTTTTTTTTTTTTTTTTTTATGCGAAAAGTTGTCAAACGAGCAGACGGTTCACCTGATCCGAGGGTTACGATCGCCCTTTAATTCAATATACTCGAGCAAAAAAATATATATTTCGATGATAGCTGAAGTCCGCTAATCCGCAGTGGGGCCGCGTGGTGGACTATGCCCTGATACCCTCTGTATGATCTCTGATACCGTCATAATTCTTTATTTTGTTAGTTGCAAATCTTAGATATTTTACCTCACTTTTATTATGTTAGAATATCATAGAATATCAACTCGCCTAGTTAACGCTTTGCAAAATAATAATTGTATATGTGACGACCACTGAAGCGATGGAAACGAGCAGGGAGTAGTCGAAACGAAAAAAGTACGCCATGTGGAAGGTGACTGGCCTCAAATCTACCAGTTCGCGAAATTTTACCATCGCCGCAGCCACCGTATTATCTGAAAAGAGTCATTTTATCTTATGTCGCAGTCTTATGTGGTATCACGCTGGTATTTCATTCGTATCATTCAAGTTCGCGGCCAGAAACTCTAATCCTTCTTTTGATTGTCACCTGATTTGTAAAATACATTTTGTTTTGTGATGTAATACTCTTGGTGAATATAAAATATTGTGCTATTGAAATGAAATAGTAAAAATGCATCATCAAAAACTAGAAGTAGAATCTATGTTGCTTACTGGGATCTCCCATTATGACGTAATGATCGATTGAGTTAAAGATCCTTTCCCTTTGACGATACGCCTTTTCGCAGACATCCACCAGGGTAATTATCACCGCTACGCATGTCAACAGACGCGTCAAGTTTGAAAAAACGGGGAAGTATTCCACGGCCCCGAGTGTCTGTAAAGACATTGAAATATTTAGAACGATTTTTACAGGATAATCTGTAACGATGTTAGATGACTCCAAATAATTACCTGTGAGCTGATTATCCACCTCACGGAAATATTTGAGAACCTAATCATGTCGATCAGCAAACTCAAACTGTTTAGTAGTATCTGAAACCATATAATCATTTATCTGGTTTGAAATAAACTTAGTACTATTTAATTGAATTAGAGGAACATTTAATTCAGTTTCAAATAATCTGTAAAGATGAATATGACTATAATATAATATAATATGACTATAATTGGCGGCTTTGCAACGGATATTAGCTATAGATAGGTTTTCAAGGGTTAATCTGACGAAGTGGGCAACTCGTTTTTTTTTTCATCAGAATTATAGACATTGAGAATAGAACAACGTTCTCTCTGATTTGTCATCCGCAGTACAAGGATATTTACGTCTAGACACGGTTTTTTTTTTACTGACTAGACTAGGCTTACTGATATAATAGACAAGTGTAAAATACTCTATTATAGTAAAAAGTAAAAGTAAAAAGTAAAGTATCAGCCTATTCATGTCCCACTGCTGGGCAGAGGCCTCCTCTATACAGAGGTTATCAGGGCATAGTCCACTACGCGGCCCCACTGCGGATTGGCGGACTTCACATATCTTCGATTTTTTTTTGTTATTATTTCGAAAATATGCAGGTTTCCTCATGATGCTTTCCTTCACCGCGGAGCACGTGATAAGTCAGCACTTAAAGTTAAAAACTTCATTGGTGCCGGCACCGGGGATCGAACTCGGGTTGCTGGAGTATATTGAATTAAAGGCGAGCGCCCGGACACTGAGCTATCACGGCTTATTAGAGTAAATTGATAATTATTGCGATAATAATTTTGATCTCGTGTAAACGATATTCTTAATCTATTGAATTTATTTTTGATACTTATACCTATTATTTATGTAGGTAATTATTTAATATTTCGACTGATTAAATAAGTAACAATATTACGAACACCTGCAGTTTATGTTCAAGTGTTAGAATAACAACAAATAAAAGCTTATTTAGAAGATTAAATTTTTTTTACTGAAGTATCATAGTCACTCACTTTTTTATGGTATTTTCGTAGAAAAAAGTGCTATATGCTTTATACCATACTGATTTTCTTTTTTATCTGATAGTTTTTAGTAAACTAACATTATATATGAACGTATGACCTAATGTTTTTTAGAATGTTCCGTTGGACAACGTTATGTATAAACGTGTGATCCAACATTGTCGCCATTTTCCGTACGAAAACGTCGTTACGTAGGTTACATTAAGTTTCCGGTACTGGCCACTTACTTAAAAATTGAAAAATGATTACAACATTTAAAAATAGAACAATTTGGATGTAGAATGCAGTTTGTTTCATCTGACTGTCAATTGCTTTTATATTGTGGCGAAATTTTAAAAATTGCGTATCTATATTAACATAGATATAACTCCGGAGAATTTTCTTAGTATGATTTTCTACGAATTTAAGTGTAATTTGACAGTTCAGCAGAGCCTCGCTCAGGTTCAGTGTGCTTTTGGTGGTGAAACACCAGGCCAGACCTCCATTTAAAGCTGGTTAGCGGAATTCAAGTGCGGTCGTGTCAATCTCAGTGATGATTTTCGCGATAGCCGCCCGTCCATGGCTGTGAACAACAAAAACAATGATGCTGTGCGCCGTATGATCGAAACAGACAGGCATTTGACCTATCATGAGATTCGGGCATCCTTAGACAGGCGTGAATAAAATACAATCAATCCTACACAAACATTTGGGTGTGAGAATACTACGCTCGCGATGGATCCCAAACAATTTGACTGAGGCTTAGAAAACGAACCGCGTCACTTGCAGCAATGCCATGCTTCATTGCCATTCTTCAATGAAGGGGCGTGATGAACAGGTGATGGAATATGGATTTATTGCTAAGATGCCAAAACAAAGCGTCCAGCGTATGGTTCTTTCAAAATGAGCCGAAACCAAGCAAAGCGGCGCGCGTGAAAAGCGGATGATTGCTTCTTTTTTAATAAAACTGGACACATGGCTACTGTTGCTTTAGAGAATCGTCGTACCGTGAATAGAGACTGGTACACGATCATTTGTTTTCTGGAATTTATCAACGAACTGCGTAAAAATAACCGTAAACGCCGTATCATCTTGCACCACAACAATGCTAGTTCCCACACGTGAAGATCGAAAAACGAAATTTTTAAAAGTGAAAAACGTAGAACTTATGAGCCATCCTGCATACAGTCTCGACGTGATTTGACTTTTTTATATTCCCAAAAATTTATAACCAATTACGCGGTCAACGATTTTCATCACCAGAAGAGGCTGTTGAAGAGTATGAAGAACACGTTTTTGAGGACGCCACAGGACCACACCACGGAGGGGTGGCACAAATGTTTTCAAAATTAGATTAATCAAGTGAAAAAATGTTTTTTTAAAAAGTATATTGTTTATTTATACCTAATCATATTTCATACCTCAAAAATTCTAATAGCAACTGCAATGCATAAAAAATATAATTTGAATCGGCCGCGGCCGTCCAGATTAATTGTAATTTTACAGATGTTCTACTTAGGCTGCGAAATGATGATGAGTTGTTACTTACCCTCATACCATACATTTTGTTGATAAAAGCAGTTTGTTCAATCAACAACAGATAATATTTACTGAGAAATTTTATTTCGTCGCCCGCGTTTAAAGCAACGTCCAATGCTTTTTTTAAAGTTTTGGCTTCTGGTTGTCCGTTCTTTGTGTATAACCAGTTGTCTATATACATGCAATCTTCAGCAAAACTTTTATTTTTGTCTGCCATGCAGTAGTTATCTTGTATATAATCGCCAATGCAACGCAAACGGAATTCAATTTGCATCACTTGAGCTATGAGGTCCAGTACGGTGAGCATTTTTATAAGTAAGTATAAATAAGCTACAGAATAGACTAAGGGGGTCAATATGCCGAAAAGCAGGAGCCATGCGATGAAGTCGCACGCGCTGCTCGTGACCCAGATAACCCCGAAGAAAATTATCAATTTATCGAGGCGCTCCCTAATTTCCACGTAAAAGGTCATGTCGAGGATTTTGTCTAACCTACCATATTGCTGGAAATATTCGACACTCATGTCTCTTCCATAAGTAAACACGAACGACAAATCCACAATGTACTGGCACAAGTCGTATACCATTTGGATCGCGTCTGTCACTTTGATTGAATCGTTGATATCAGCATAAAGGTAAAGAATTTTCCAACATAAAGTAAATATGGTCAAACTTGCGAGGGTGATCGCTGTTAAAACTGTTTTGAATATTGCACAAAATTGAAATCTGAAATTTTTTTCTTTGTTGCTTTGTAATGAAAATATTTTAAGAAATATATAAAGTGATTTAATGCTGTCACATGTGCGTTGCTTTTTTGCATTTTCCGTTTCTGTATCTGATTGCATGGTGAAATGGTTGGTTTTGTCGTATTTTACTAGAGTTAAAACACAATGGCTGATCTACAGGCAATGATAAATTTAGAAGTTTCACGGACGCGTAGTGGTATTATATTTTCAAGTAAATAGCTTTTGAATAATTGCGTCGGTAAAGGTACAGAGTGTTCTTTTTTCGTATTTGTAACGCTAGACCTGTTCAAATTCTTATTTTTTTGTCTTTTTTTCACCTTTGTGTCTATTAATCGGCTATAAGATATCAATATATTTTTAATTTTATATTGGTACTGTCAAATTTTGAACAACACAAATTACGCAAGTTCACCAAATTGTAATACTTGCAATGTGAATTAGGATGCATAGAATTTGCTGTTGTAGTGCCCATATAAACCCTGCTCGCTTTTACAAGCTGCAGATAGTACAAAAGTTCTCCAAATAGTTTTTTGGGAGGGCCGAAAGTCATCCCAACCCTCTGGTGGTGAATGCAGTGAATTACTAAACCGATATCAACGCAAACGCTAGCGCGACGCAATGCCACGTCCTCATCGACCTGGTCGAAGAAGGGGGGACATAAGTACGTCGGACTGACCGCCGCCGGGGGCCGTGATTGCTCAGTGTCCGGGCGCTGACCTTTAATTCAATATACTCGAGCAACCTGAGTTCGATCCCCGGTACCCGCACCAATGAAATTGTTAATTTTAATTGCTGAATTATCACGTGCTCAGCGATAAAGGAAAAAATCGTGAGGAAACCTGCATATTTTTGAAATAATAACAAAAATTTTTTTGGAAATGTTAGAAGTCCGCCTGGTGATGATACCCTTTGTATAGAGGTGGCCTTTGCGCTGTAGTGGGACATGTATAGCGTGTTACTTTACTCTAGTTCGTCCTCGCCTACGAGCACGGCGGAACGAACATAACGCGTACACAAAGTACACCCGCGTTCCACGGCGGTTTTCACCACCTCCAGTCACCGAATAGTTAAACACAGTCAACGGCCATGCCATCGGCATCACGGTCCGTTGGTGACATTTTCCATTAAATAACGTACGCATGAGCACATCGCAGCCCTACCTAAAGAGAAGCGTTTCAAATTCGAGGGTTCTGGCTAGCCCAAGAGTTCTACGTTAATAGTCTAAGAACTGAAAGCAATTACTTCAGTTAATAAAAGATAAAAGAGCTGTTGGAGTGTATTAGGAACCAAAATTAAAGAGAAATTTCAATTACATATATTAGCTAGTGGTGGCTACTATAGAGTATCTAATGTATAGTAGGAATGAGTAACCGCATGAAAAAATTCCCAAATTACAATGATTAATAATCTTTAAAAAAAACTATTTGGTTCCGTCGGTCGTACCTAAACCCCGTCTACCGAAAACACGTCTGAATCGGCTCAAGCATAAGCTGTCGGCAGCCATCAAGGCGTACAGGCGTGAGGGGTGGGAGCAGGCCGGATCGAGCAGGTCTCGGAATTTCAAACCTAACTACTACCTTAACCAGCGGCTCAACCGAACACCACACTTTGTCACTCGCATGCAGTGACGGACGTAAGCACTTTGTAGCTAAAGACAGAGCTGATATCTTGGCAGAGCATCGAAAGCAACTTGTGACAGGCAGCGCCATTGCGTTCCACCGTGAATTGGAACGGCATAGATAGGCTGTCTGAGGCCAAATGTCACCGCCACGAGTGACGGTGACATTTTCATCACTCCGGCCGAAGTGCGTAGAGCGGCGAGCTATCTTCCGCTCTGCAAGGCTGCCGATACCGACCAAATCACAACGCTAGCAATAAGATAGCTACCTAGATAAGTGTTAGCGTCGCGGTGTCACTTGTACAATGGTGTACAAAGAGTGGATAATCGGCAAGATCATCGTCCTGCTGAAACCGGGCAAGGACCGACATCTTCTGTCTAGCTACAGGCCGTTAACAATACTGCCACATGTAGCGATTTTCTTTGACCGACTGCTTCTGAATAGTACCCTGTGTTGAACTGCACAGGAAGCAGTTCAGATTCGGCAGCGGCTTTTCCACCACAGCTCAGCTGGCCCGAGTGCACTATTTTGCAGCCCACTATAACAGGTGCCGCATCTGTCTGGGGATTCTTCTCGACATGGAGAAGGCCTTCGACTGCGTGGCATTAGGTTCTCCTGTACAAACTGAACGACACCACCAACTACCGCGCGCACGTGCGGCTATTAGCGTCATGTCTCCAGGACCGGATGTTCGTCGTGCGCTTCGAGAAGCCGAATCAGCGGGTCCATGCATCAAAGCTGGTATACCTCAAGGTAGTTGTCTATCGCCGCACTTGTATGCGGAGTACGCCAACGAATTTACCACCTTGGATCATAACGCTCCCAAATAGGATGAAAATCTACTGTTGGCTATGTACGTGTAAGATAGCGCCTTCCTGAACGTCTTCTCACAAAGCGGCGAATGCGGCTAGGAAGATGCAGCGCCAACTGAACCAAAGCGCTACCCGAGTTCCAATCACTCGGCGGATGTCAAACAATGTCGACAAGACGTCCGCCATCTATATTCGCCACATCATCAACCAACCCACGCTTGAGTGGAAATCGATCGGGCTCTTCTACTATTACAAAATTTTAACATCAGCCTATGTAGTCATGAACTGTTGTTAAATATTTTAGTTATTAATATTATGGCCTTGGACACCCATGCGAAGTATATAAATGTTGGCACGAAAATAAAAAAAGGATTTAATTGTTAACAAACACACGAGTCAATTATCGCACAAGGACGTTTATTGTAAAACTTTATTAAGTAAAGTACTTCCATTATGATAACAGAGCAGTTTATACAAAGTAATAGGTGTATTTATGAATCGATCTTTTAGGGCGGCACGCCATACCACTCCATGTTAATGAATAGTTGGTATAAGATAATGTGGTTTGTTGTGTCTAAAGTATTTTCAAAGACAGTGCGAGGCTGTTTTTAATCAAATGTGCTTTCTAAATAACTGCTTTATCTTAGCGAAGAACTTCATTTATTTCGTTCATTAGTAAGATTGAGTCTTTAGTTTTATCTAAATTGAATTTCGCTTATGACAAAGGTTATATACGGGAACGGAAAAAAAAATAACCTGTACAAAATGGATGTGCGCGTTTCTGCTATGCCATACTCCACGAGGCAACGTAACGCGTGTCTTCAAACAGAAGAAGCAATAATATTAGGTACTAAAAATGAAGCATCGCAAGCAACTTCATCTCACTAGTCTACTCTGCGACGTAGTAAAATATCTTTGCTGAATTGGTTTCATTTCCTTTTTTATTCTTTTAATTTAGAATTTGGTATTTGGATGATGACTTATAATGATATTATAAATGAAACTAATTTTACGGATTTATCGCGTTTATTTTTAATTTTAAATCTTTGTTTCGGAGAGCACAAGGGATCTGTGACAAACAACACCTGGGCGCTGAGCTTCAACATGTTAAGCAAGTTCTGCATGACAACAAGCTTCGAGCACCGCGCCTACGTCACAGTGACTGAGTGAAACCAGCCACAGTGGAGCGATTATCTGCTGTTCTACCATACGTCAGAGGAGTCACCGACAAGATTGGCTATATCTTGAAGCAGGCTTCAATTAATACATTCTACAAGCCGCTGAAGAAGATTAGTAATTTTACCATCTGTCAAGTGTAATATCCCTCTGCAAGATCCAGGAGTGTACAAACTTGACTGTGCATGTGGGCTCTCTTACATAGGACAAACGAAAAAGAGCAATAAAAACCCGCGTGAAAGAACATACAGCAGACATAAAACATAATAGACTGAACAAGTCTGCAGTTTGTGAGCACACCATAAATCGGCCCAACCACTACATCAGGTTTAGCAGACCACAGATCCTTGCTAAAGAACACCGATTCCTCCCAAGAATGATTCGCGAGGCTATTGAAATTAAAAAACACCCTAATTTCAATAGAGAAGAGGGTTGGGTACTACCATCAGCTTGGGATCCTGTCATCAATAAAATTAAATCTAGGCCCAAACAAACCACTATACTGCAAGACAAGATACAATTAGCTCCCTCTGCATAGATCGGACACAAAATTAATAATTAAAAATGTGGATCTAAATACTATCGATCCAGCATCGCAATATTTTTAGTTCTTTGTTGTTATTATCATAACTTTTTATGTCACTAATGATGTCGGAAAGAAATCAGAGCACTATAAATTGTTTACAAAATAGCGTTTATCTCATTAAACTGCGGTAAACGATGTTTGACAAACACTTTGTTTTATACTATGTAGTGATATCATTTTTATTAAAATCCAGATTTTAAATTCATTAAAAGGAAACAACTTGCTCGATTCAGATTATTTATCGTCTGCGGTAAGACGACCCAAAGAACGTCATTACCGTGTAGCTAGCAATTACAGAAAAAATCTCGTAACTAAATTTTTCTCGTAAATAACTGTTTGTATGATTATTTATTGTCTCGCCGCACTTTATAATGATTACTAGCGGACTCGAAAGACGTTGTCCTGTACACATGTGTACACACGTCTTAAAACCGAAAACTTCATACTTTTAGAATAAGTTTCTTAATCTAAACCATCCTTGAATCCACCTGAAGACACAAAAAATTTCATTAAAATCGTATTCCATTATCCAAAATCGTAACCTTAATCCTTCCTCTAGGTCCTTTTATGGATTGCGATCCAAGC